CGGAAATGACGACGGGCCGGTGTCGTAGGTCTTCTCCCCTGTCATACCCGAAGTCCTGGCTCTATGAGACCGCCTTAGCTGGTTCACGGAAACCTTAGATGAGTTTTGAGAGCGTTTGAGAGAGATTGGATAGTTGGGTGCAGAGGAAAGACCTCCAGCGCTATTTATAGAGTTTCCAGCCATGCCCTCTCATAACGGGCTGGGCTGAACTCGGCCCACACAAGCCGGGCCTATATCCGACCAATTAAGAAACTTTATATCCAACCTTATTAGACCAAACCCGCAAGCGGGTAATAACAATCTCAATTAATGTAACCCACATTAGAAAAATGTTACATTCTCCCACTTGGGCTATATTAATTGAAATCGTGTCTTATGTACACCTTTATTTGGTCTATGGATAATTCTTAATAGTCAATCCGATCCCATAACGTTTCAAACACCGAAACATTGTGGTAACTGCATGTAATCACGCAGAGCCTTCCATGGTCATAAGTGCCTTAGACTTTACTGATATGGATTCGATATGGTTGTGTGGCAAACGAATGACACCTCATAAAGAGTGATACCTCATGTGTCATCCCCTTTGTCAGTCCTCATTCTTTTCCTTTTCAGTGTCACAGAAACTTGATGTGTCACTAGAGTTTAGCTGGCCCGTATGGCTCGGCCGAGCGCCCTAGGATTACCATAGTGAGATATTGACGGTACGGTAAAAGGATAAATAGAATTTGAGCATCTGATTTGGATTCCATTGTCCTGGATGCGGAAATGACGACGAACTGGTACCGTAGGTCATCTCCCCTGTCACCCCCGAAGTCCCGACGCTATGAGACTGCCTCAGCTGGCTCACGGAAACCTTAGGTGAGTTTTGAGAGCGTTTGAGAGAGATTGGAGAGTTGGGTGCAGAGGAGGGACCTCCAACGCTATTTATATAGTTTTCAGCCAGGCCCTCTCATAACGGGCAGGGCCGAACTCGGCCCACACAAGCCGGACCCATATCCGACCAATTAAGAAATCTTATATCCAACCTATTAGACCAAACCCACAAGCGGGTAATAACAATCTCAATTAATGTGACACACATTAGGAAAACGTTACATTCTCCCACTTGGGCTATATTAATTGAAATCGTACCTTATGTGTACCTTTATTTGGTCTATGGATAATTCTTAATAGCCAATCCAATCCCATAAAGTTTCAAACACCGAATCATTATGGTAACTGCATGTAATCACGTAGAGCATTCCATGGTCACAAGTGTCTTAGACTTTACTGATATGGATTCGATATGGTTGTGTGGCAGACAAATGACACTTCATATTTGTTTGGTGAGTTCCATTTCGGAAATGGCACGTACAAATGGCTCCAAAACGGCGAAAATCCTCAGCACCAACAAAAAGAACAATCTTTTGGAGATTGACTATGCTATTGTTTTATTATATTATTAAATTTAAATAAAAGCAATTCTTTTGGATCGACCGTCCTTTAATTTTTTTTTTTTCGTTTTTGGTAACACCAATAAAAATAAAAATAAAAAGCTAGAAGAAATAAATTCTCTCCCGGACCAGTGTTGGCATGGAGGGTCCCAGAAAGAAGATAATCCCTCGGTCGAGCATGCACAAATGGACTCCACCAATTGATGAGCTGCCGCTATGATGATGGACTATTCGACAAATCAATAGATGTCGCTTTCTAATCTTTGACGTACCCTACGAAGTTACGACATATTAAGTAGTTTGAACAACAGCAAAAGAGAATAAGAGAGCTTCTTTATGGCGTGACTTTTGCTTATGTTTATGCATTATGACTCCTTTTTAAAAACTTTTTATGGTCCAACGATTCCAAATCATCATGAAGCACCGCCGTCCATTTTACAATCGTCGGTTGGTCAGGGCATCTTGAAATTTTCGGTCGGGAACTAGAGGTCGTTCGTTCAAATTTCACCGATGGTAAGAAATTGCTTTGGGATTAAGGGTCCAGGGTTGAGGTAATTTGCGCAAATCGCAAATCTAGACTTAATTGGTTTATAAGATTTGCTTCGCGATCATATGTCTGGATTTTATTTTAAAGATACAACTAGACTAGAAAGAAATACTTTGATCCACGCGCAAGTAAGGGTATAGAGAAAAAGCTAATTGGTGTTTGCCTCGTTCTCTGCAAGCTAAAATGCTTAGCCATTCTTGAATCTAGTCCCTCTATTTTGAGGTGATCGAGTCGACAACTGTGTCTACTAAAAAAACATACTAAGTTGCAGAGTGAGGCTTGTCTATATCATGGATGAAAACGGAACGGATTTGAGATAGTTGATCTTGTTTCAAATCCGTCCCGTTAACTTTTCGTTATATCCCAAATCATCACAAACACGTTACAGATTTTGTGATTAAACTCCACACACCTCTCACTAAAGTAATCGGTAACCCGTTGAATACCCGTTACCCACCATAGTGCTATTTTAGTAAAAAAAATATCTCACACTATGAGCTAAAATGAAAAACTTGTAAGCCTCTTCAATCGAACCCCTCTATTTTCATGTGATAAAAAAAGGGACACTTACATGTCATGAGTAATCGCTAACCCATTGAATACACGTTAGCCAATGGGCGGACGTTTCCGCCTCAAACTCAAAATCAGAATCTTCGGGAATATGTGCAAATACGACGAGATTGTTATCACTTTATTCATAATTTGAAAGGACGAGAACGTTCCAACCAGGGGAAAAAATATTGAGATTTCTTAGATTATTTATAAATCTGTACTTTTTTTTCTTTTCGTGATTTTTTCTTTCGTATTTGCAATCTCATTTTTACCCAACATAACAAAAGAAAAAAATTACGAAAAGAAAAAAAGTACACATTTATAAATAATCTAAGAAATCTCAATACTTTTTTCCACTGGTTGGAACTTCTCATCCTTTCAAATTAGGAATGAAGTGATAACAATCTCGTATTTGCACATATTCCTGATTATTCTTATTCTAAGAAATAAATAATCTAATAAGTCTTAATATTTATAAATAATAGCAACTCTGAGAAGTGGAAACATTGGTTAGGAATTTGGTTTAGTGAGAAGGTTACAATGGTTAATGGATGGGATTTTCTGCGAGTGGCAATCCAGTAAACCAATGGTCGATAAGTCACCACCTGGACATGAGGAGAAAGGCTAATAATGGCTTGCCACGTGTTATGAGGACACATTCTAATGGCGAGTTGACACATGCCATTATCGTGATAAGTTTTAAGACCTGATCATATTTTTTAAAAGTTTTAAGACTCGATTGTATTATCGTGGTAAGTTTTAGGGTTTATGGTGCACTTATCTCAAACTAGAAGATTTAAGAATGATATTTTAGAAAAATGTTAATATGTTTGGGTACAATTTTATAAATTTAAGAATGATATTTATGATTTCAAGTGTTAATTAAGGATTTATTAAGTTAGATTAATTAAAGGTAACCAAATCGGTTCAAAATAATTAGTTTTGAAACTTTAGGGGCAAAATTGCAATTTCCCAAAACTTATGGACGAATTTACAAAATCTGGAAATTCTGGGGACTAATTGCAGAATCAGATCACAAACCTTAGAATGATTGTTACTGAATTCACTACAAAATTGGACTTAATTGTACAGCTATTGTATAACCCGCGCTCGTGATCGATGCGCCAAATGAATTGTCGATAAAAGATAAACCGAGTCTTTCTCAACGAGTCCTTTGGGCCATCTCGAGCAAGTACCTCTAAACCCGCGTCTCAAGAGCATGCCTCCGAGGCGTAGGTCGCGACAGGCACTAATAAAAACGTTAGCGTAAACGTAAACAAGCTTCCGTGCTTAAAATCTCTAGTTTCGTAGGAATTGAGAAAACGCTCCCGCATCTCAATTGGTTTCTAGTCAACCCCAAATGGCTAGTGACGACTCCTAAAAATCCACAGGCTTAGAAAGAACTTACAAGGAAAATCCAACATCGAGTGAGATACGGGCTTGGGAGAGCTCGTGCCTAATGGAGGGCTATACCCCTAAACCTAAGTCTCTTACCCCTTCGGACGGAAAAGGTTTGCGTTTGGAAACACTTTGGGGGAAAGTCTTTGGGAAAATGCAAATGACTTTAAGTTAAATGAGTTTTTCAAAATGCAAATTGTGTTTGGTAAGTTGTAACTTAAAAGTCCCTTGCAAAGTAACTTTGGGTAAAATAATGCTTGGAAAAATTATACTTACAAAGTAAATTTTTCATTTTTTATTAAAGGAAAGTTGAAACCCTTCGCCGGCCGACGAAGGATGGGCGGCCGCCGGCGACCTAGATCTGGCGCCGGCGGCCGTCAGCGACCCCAGGCGGCCCTCGTCGGCGGTCGCCGGGGGTTGCCCGAGGCCGTTCGGCTTCAGACGACGGTCGCGTGGCGTCAGATCTGGGTCACTGATGGCCTCACCTGAGTTTCTCGACCCTCGTCGGGGGTCGCTTGACCCCAGGCGGCCCTCATCGGTGGTCGCCGGAGGCTGCCTGAGGTCGTTCGGCCTCAGACGACCGCCGCGCGACGCCAAATCTAGGTCGCCGGCGGCCCTTGAGGGTGGTCTAAGTCGCGCGACCTTAAGTGGCCCTCGCTTGGGTCGCGTGGCCCCTTGCGGCGGTCATGCGAGCCCAAGCGACGGTGGCCGGGTTGCGCGACCACGCCGGCCGCCCTCCGTCCGGTTGCCGTCGCTTCACAGCCACGCCGCTGAGGTCTCAGCGAAGAAGAAGATGAACAGTATAGACGAGATCAAAATCGGAAAATCTAAAAAAAGATAAGAGTAGTTTCGGGAGAAATTTTTTTCACTTATTCCTAGGACTTGTATGCTGAGGAAGCTGAAAGCCCAGGGCAATCTAGGACCCCTTGGGCTTTCAGCCTTCCGAAGGCTCTCTTTTCCTCAAGGTGGGTTGTAAAATTTTTATCAACACCCAATACTTGGCTCAATGAGCTTTGGACGCCCAAAGGCCCTTGGGAAAGCCATTCCCAAACGCAGCCAATTTGCCATAAAAGCTCCCCCTTCCAGCACAGCTCTTTCAAAGAACGCTCAGCTTTCTCAACTCTGTTCCAATTCGCTCGCGCCTCCTGAGCCCAACTGAACTTCTTGTGATGACTGCACTTGCGAGTCGGCGTCGTCATCACCATCACCACCGCCATTCATCCCAATGCATCATCACCGTCATGTGCTCAGAGCCTCCAAGAAGCCACCGTCTTTGCGGCCACACCAGTTGGCGAACACCCTCCTCGTCGCCTCCGTCGCCAAGACCCTCTCCCAGTCCGGGACCCGCAACCTCGACCCGGACGCCGTCCCGGTCACCGACTCCCTCCTCCGCCAGATCCTCTCCCACAGGTCCCTCCACCCATCAAGAAAGCTCGAGTTCTTCACATGGTCTCGCTCTCTCACGCATTTTGGCAAACACGCGGCGAGAGTGTACTCCCACCTGTTCTGGGTCATGTGCCGAGCTGACCAGCTCGAGGAGGTCCCTCCCCTGCTCCGCCTGATGAAGGAGGACGGCGTCGTCGCTGATTCTTGGACGTTCAAGCTCCTCCTCGAGGCGTTCATCCGGTCGGGCAAGTTTGACGCTGCGCTCGAGATTCTTGATCACATGGAAGAGCTCGGCACGAGGCTGAATTCCCATATGTATACTTCGGTGCTTGCCGCACTCGTTAGGAAGGGACAAGTGGGTCTGGCCTTGTCGATTTTCTATAAGCTCTTGGACGGTTCAAGTGGGGCGGTTTCCCTGCCGAGCGCGGTCGCGTGCAATGAGCTGCTCGTCGCGCTTAGGAAGGCGGATATGAGAGCCGAGTTCAGGGAGGTGTTTGACAAATTGAAAGGGAAGGATGGGTTTCAGTTGGATGCTTGGGGTTATAACATTTGTATTCACGCATTCGGGTGTTGGGGCGATTTGCCCGCTTCTCTGCGCCTTTTCGAGGAGATGAAGGCGAAGAGTTCGGGTTTGGGATCATTTGGGCCCGACTTGTGCACCTACAATAGCTTGATCCAGGCGCTCTGCTTGGCCGGCAAGGTCAGAGAGGCACTGGTCGTGTGGGAGGAAATGAAAGGGTCTGGCCATGACCCCGATGCCTTTACATATCGAATTCTCGTTCAAGGCTGCTCGAAATCATACCTCATTGATGATGCCGCCAGAATTTTCGATGAAATGCAGTACAATGGATTTCGACCGAATGTGATTGCTTACAATTCTCTCCTGGATGGACTTCTTAAGGCGAAGAGAGTGAATGAGGCATGCCAACTTTTCGATAAGATGGTTCAGGATGGAATAAGGGCAACATGCTGGACATACAACATCCTCATCGATGGACTATTCAAGAATGGAAGGGCAGAGGGTGCATATACACTCTTCTGCGACTTGAAGAAAAAGGGTCAGTTTGTGGATGGCGTTACTTATAGCATTGTTGCGGTGCAGCTCTGTAAGGAAGGTCAACTCGAGGAAGCTCTTACACTGGTACAAGAAATGGAAGTCAGAGGCTTTGTCGTGGACCTGGTCACGATAACGTCCCTCCTGATTGGATTTCACAAGCAGGGTTGGTGCGACGGGACGGAGATGCTCATGAAGCACATTAGGGACGGACATCTGGTCCCGAGTGTGCTCAAGTGGCAAGCTGACATGGAGGCTGCGATGAAGCATCATAAGAGCAAAAGAAAGGATTACATGCCAATGTTCCCATCTAGAGGCTGCTTCCATGAGATTATGAGTTTGGTGGGTTCTCCTCCTGACTTGCAGACTTCGCCTGAGGAGGGTTCAGAAGAGACCAGGATGGGAGATGAGGAGGCTTCATCTACAGATTCTGATGAGTGGTCATCGTCCCCATACATGGATCGGTTGGCTAGTCAAGTAAAGTCCGGTGATTATTCTCCTCAGCTGTTTTCGCTTTCGAAAGGGCTGCGTGTTCAAGACCGAGGGATGGGCACATTAGATATCCACATGGTCAATACCTACTTATCGATCTTTCTAGCAAAGGGAAAGTTGAGCTTGGCCTGCAAGTTGTTTGAGATGTTCAGCGACCTGGGCATCGACCCAACAAGCTACACGTACAACTCCATGATGAGCTCCTTCGTCAAGAAAGGCTATTTCGAGGAGGCATGGGGCGTCCTCAACGAGATGGGCGAGAGGGTCTGCCCCACAGACATTGCAACGTACAACATGATCATTCGGGGGCTTGGCAAGATGGGGAAAGCGGACCTAGCAAGTGCGGTCCTTGACAAGCTAATGAAGCATGGGGGTTACTTAGATGTAGTGATGTACAACACGCTGATTAACGCCTTGGGGAAAGCTGGAAGGATCGACGAAGCGTGCAAGCTTTTTGAGCAGATGAGGACGAGTGGGATTTGCCCTGACGCCGTGACGTTTAACACCCTCATTGAAGTGCACAGCAAGGCGGGGCGTCTGAAGGACGCATATAAGTTCTTGAAAATGATGCTCGATGCCGGGGTCTCCCCTAACCATGTGACCGACACTACTTTGGATTTTCTCGGGAGGGAGATCGAAAAACTAAGGTATCAGAAGGCTTCAATGGTGCACGTGGATACGGATGATTCTGGTTAATGCAGGAACTTTGTCAGGGGTGTTGGTTCGCAAAAATTGAGTTGTCTTCCTGATCTTTGCTTATGAAAATGGAAAGATCACCTAATGTTTCAGGCGTGTTGACATTGTTTGAATTAGACTACGATATAAGATGCCTGAGGTATGCTGTACTTCTTGTGTGATTGTGATGATTGTCCAAAGGATGATTCTTTGATGTAATCTCTTTCTTTTCCTGGATCACAATTGATCTGGGTAGTCGTATATTTGAAACTACTAAAGTTGGATTTTGTAAAGAGTCTACGTTTCGCAGTCTGTATACCCTTTTAGGGTCCATGCCTAAAAGGATTATTGTAAGTAAACTTTCTCCAAGACGTTGATAATTTTATTACTCTGATGATAATATTGGAAGTAGCTTCTCAGTCGTTACATAGGAGATTATACCTTTCACAATATTACGTTGTGCTTTCTATGTATCAAGTGAACATCTTTCAATTAAAGTAATGAACTACTAGCTAGTATCAACAGATTGATCGATAGAACTTGAGAGCGAGAATTATGCATCGATGGAGATAAAAAAAGATAAAAAAGAAGTCAAGTTGCGATATCTGCGGGTTTAAAAGAAAAGGTAAAAAGTAATAAAACACAATTGGTTCAACAGCCTAGCCCTGTTGGATAGTACAAGGAGTAAAATGTCTAGTTCTGAGTAAACTAAATTGAATAACAATGCAAATTTCTTCAACAGCAGCCTCCTCTAGTTCTGAGCTTCAGCCTCTTTGGTCTCAATCAATCTGACGAAATTGCGAACAATCGTCTTGCCTTCATCGGTTATGATGCTTTCTGGATGAAATTGGACACCCTGAAATTCACATGTCAGCACGATATCGTTTTCGCAGTTGTAGTAAAGAGTAACTAGCATCATTAGGCGTATTAACATATTAATAATGGGATAACATGAGACAGCACAACTAAACGAAAAGAGAAATGTCCAAAAATTACATGACACGGACGAATAATATCAAACCCTCGCCGCACACAGACTAGACATCAGATGTAGTCACAACTATCCGGAAAGCAAATTGTTTAATCTTTGATGAGATGTTGTGGTCAAAAAACCAAAATCTCTGTTTACATTATCCACGAATTGAGTGCAGAGACGTACTTATGAAGCCTCAGTGCAATGAACATGAATGGGCGCTATCTATAAGCACAAGACTCACCCTACAAATATCAAAGTGTGCGTGTAGATTGTAAAGTAGGACGTCTCCCGTCAAGTGCGCACATGTGCAGAAAAAGGATAAATCATTCACAAACTTATGCCAAAAATCCACCCATACTGACAAGATTGCACTACTTATTAACCGTTTATCCCACATCGCGGTTGTTACTGTGAAGGTGGGGCCAAGGGAGCATGAACCAACCGAACATCATCTAACTTCTGGAAAAAATCGGAAACCTTTTTAATGAAAGAGAGATGAGTAGAGACCTGTAGATGCTTGTAAGTTTTGTGACGAGCAGCCATAATCAGTCCATCTTCGGTCCATGCGGTGACCTCCAGAAATTCGCCAGGAAAACTCTCCTTATCGATTACAAGGCTGTGGTACCTACCAGCAGTGAAAGGGCTGCAAAAGATAATGGGAATGAGTACAGGTTTCCGGAATTTTTGCTATAAGCCAATACGAGGATCTGTCATTGCTATCGAGAAGTTCAGAGCAACTTTCCGTCAACAAGAGCTGAACGCTTCAAGCACGATAGAGCAGGTCGGTACACAAAAGGAAGCTGTTTTACACACGATACATGAATAATGCACTGTGCTTTATGTCAAGAAACTGGTAATAAAATGAAGATTTATGTATAATATCAGTTTGGAACACTAATAAGAAAGTGATTCTGCTACAAAAGGACATCAAAGCACTGATTCTAGCAACACAGAGTTGCATTTGACCAACAAATATCCATCTCAGAGCTTGACAAAAGAATAGGTCCCAGCTATACTTGTAGAATAAAAATGCTAGAAAAGGAACACAGACATACTTTGATAATCCAGAAAATAAGCCATCTTCTCCCTTCTCGTCATAATATACAAGAGAACTTTTTCCATGCACCACACCATAAGGAGAACGCACAATCTTCCCTGATGCACCACATGCTACAGTGTAAATGCTTCATATCGACAATGAATATAACAAAAAGTTCAGATGCCACCTAGAACCTTTTTCTCAATCAAAAGAAAGTAGAGGACAGTACAATAGTGTCAAACACCAAATTCTGTGCAGAGTAAGCATAGATCAGCACTATTTGTTTAATTTTACTTGAGATTTGACATGAGCCAGGTAAATCAAGATCCTGCACACATAATAGTTTGTGCCACTAAAACTTGCTTTTAGAGGCTCTGAAATGTGCTTTACCGCACAAAATCAGAATTTCTTGGTATCATGAAATAAGCAATTAAAAGAAAGATCCAATAGATATGCCGTTAGCACATGCTTTTGTTAAAAGAGACGCACCTCCAAAGGCCTCCCCAATGCATTGTAGACCCATGCATACTCCAAAAAGCGGAACCACAGGCCCTAGTTCGAGAACAGTCTGCAAAGAAATTCCAGAATCCTGGGGTGTGCCTACAAAATAATGCCAGGCATAGGTACGATATTCCTTTTGATTTCCCTTCAAGAAATAGCCAGCATTTCGATCAAATGGAATCATATCATAGAAGCTCTAACCTGGTCCTGGGGATATAAGCACTCCTCTCGGCTTTTTGCTACAACACGTGGAAGCTATCAGTTAAAAGAGTGATCCTTTCAAGTGAGGCACACTAATCGAGGTGGCCCATTTCAAGTAACGAATGATCGGAAAGGTCTGTTGTGCCATAAAAAGTGGAACGCTATTATATCTTAACGAAAAAAGAAAGAAAAGGAAATTTCTTACCTTTTCAATTCCTCTACAGTCAATTCGTCATTCCGGTAAACCTCAAACTTACATCCCAGCTCTCCCAAATACTGAAAAATGACGATAGAAGGTCATAAGGATTGTTGTACATTACATCACAAATATGCACCTGCACGGCTCATAGACTGTGTAATTGCATGAATGACCTCCTAAACAGAGCCAAGTGCTTGCGTGCAGACAGACTCGATGCATGCGTGCTAGAGAGAGAGAGAGAGAGATGAGGTTGATGCTTGTGTTCAATAGCAAGTCATTGTTAGGACTCATAGAGTGCTTTTTTGGCTGAGGATTGACCTCATATTGCATCAAAATACCTTACAAATGGAAAAGCTTGCAGATTTATACATTAACATGTTAAACATTTCAGTGAAGCATCCTTTTTTATCCAGTAAAAAGTGATGCCAGGATTGACAGTGCAAAAGGCGGTTGTGCGTTTCAGGAAAGTCTTAGAGAATGGACCACCATATGCATATACTATACTAGCATCAGTTCAATACTGACAAGATAAACATTTATACAGATTCCATGTAGCAACCGCAATAAACTCCAGGTTTTGCCATTTTGGGTGTCTTCAACTAAACCATATAATAAATGAATTAGACCATCCAGTATCCACAATGTCACCCAAGAGTGACAGAAGTTGTCAAGAGTCAAGACTCAATATCAAACTACAGAGGAAAAAAGCATACTTGTAAGATTGAGTCCCAGCGAAGGCAAATCCCTTGGGGCCCACCCTCAGTGGCCTCTTCTTTTGATAATTACCCGATTGGGATGGCAGAGGAGGCATATTCACAATTTGATGAGAGAAATCGGGTGCTATCAAAAGGCCTGGAAACCCTACCTCACACAAGAACACACGTGCACACACATGCATCCAGTTTCACCACCTAGGCTCCTTCAAATGAAGCTACACCCCAATCTCAAAATGAAAAAGAAAAATAAAAAACCTTCCTACAAAATGTTAGATGTGAATAGGAAACATGGCAAATGACATCAAATAAGGCAACCAAATATTGTTTATCGTTTTATCTGTTCAAGCAAAACCAGAGAAAAATAAAATCACCTGGCAAAGGTTGTAAGTGAAACTGTCATAATTGTCAATGACAATGATTGGTTCATCACCCTTTCTAATGGACACTGGAGACCTGGAATTCAACTTAGAATTAGACAAAGATCTGGCCTTTGTGACAAATGTTCTTTTATTTTGTGCCACAAAACTGAGTTCTGCAAATGAAAAGGAAAACTTAGCTTCGTTTATAAAATAACAGAGAAAAACAGAGGATGAAAGATTGTGCTCAAAGATTACATACTTGACGTACGGGCGATCATAAAGAGGCGATTTAAGCGAGGATCTTGCAGGGTTTTATGAGAGAAGGAAGGTTTTGGGTACTTGAGAGAGCAGTGAGGTATCCCAGCAGCAGCCATCTTGATGGAAATGGAGTTCGGTGGTGAAGGTATTATGTGTGCGCCGCGCAGTAGAGAAAGCCTGTATAGTTCTAATTGAGATAGGGAAGCAAACGCTATTGACACTTCAAATCACTCCCTTTTTATTAACCATACAAGGAAAAACCTTAAAGGACATATGTCATATCTGATTTTGTGCTAATATGGCTCTTTCTTTTATCGTACTGCCTTATATGGTTCTTCATTGCTCCCTTTTCTCTAAACGTACAAGGAAAAGCCTTTAAGGACAAATGTCTTCTCTGATTTTGTGCTAATATGGTTCTTTCTTTTATCACACTGCCTTATATGGTTCTTCATTTTAAAGGCAAATAACACAAAACAAGACAGCATTGTTCTCATCCAACATTCACTCCACATTATCTTTATTCTAATTAAATTCAAAAGTGGAATAAGATTACACCAGGATATGAGAAGTAAATCCATCTTGACTAAGCCAGATATCCAGGATACAAGAGGCACACTGACACCAAATAGATCATCCTATAAACTAAATAAATAAAACAAACCAACCATACTAAGAAGTAAAGTGAAACCAATAAGCCTCATTTTACAACTAGAGTCACGAGCAAAGATAACCCAATGTGAAAAAACAAAAATGACAACTTGAATAATATTATCTAAACTGTTTTTCCTTCACTTGTTGCTCCATACCATGCAAAACTGAGCTAGTGTCCAGAACATAGCCTCTTCTTCTCATCTATCGATCTAATTTCGTGAGCAAGCCAAACATCAGGTTTCATTGATGAGTTATCTCCCCACGTACAATAGTTGGTTTTCTTTTACAATGCTAATGCAACCATATAGAAGCGTCTTTCTTACTTCCATTAATGACATCAACTTTCTCATTTATGCTAGATTTATACCATTGACATAGCGAACATGAGCATAAATATTGGAGAGAAGTGCGTAAACTGAAAAATCTTCTACTTATAGGCTATAGGCTATAGTCGTATGGCAATTCCAATTGCCATTTTTTTTTTTTGGTCATACCAATTGCCATTTTGGTTAGCCTTATTGTTCGCAAGCACTAAGAAAAGTTATCCATGTAGGTCCATCATGTTGAAATGGCATCTGATCGACGAGGTTCTCAGCCTCGTCAAGATGTTCCGAAGGACTCAAAAGATCCAATAAGCAAGTATATTGAGTAATACCATAGCCCTTGCTCATAGAATTGAGAAAAATGATGACCTCTCTTCTCTGATCCGAAATGGCCACACAAAGTACATGCATAGCACTAACCATCTTAACAAAGAATTGCTAACGCTTCCTCAGCTTTCCCATGCTGATCAGCGCCAACCATGACTGAAGTTCAAGATGTCTCTTCTCTGCATTTCTTCCCATTGAACATATTCTTTGCACCAAGAATTCCGCCACACTCGGCATACATACCGATAAATACATTGCTTATGAACAGGGGTGATTCATACCCAAGAACTACAACAAGAACATGTACCCGCTTTCCAAGTTCCGAGACGTCCACATCAGCACAAGAACCGACAATGCAAGAACCGAATGAAATGCATTAACCTTATCCCCAGTTCGAACCAACCCGGAAATCAATGCCACCATAGAGACGGCCAAGGAGCAGGGCCGGGCCCACGTCCACATTCCCCCATCCCGGGGAAGAAAGCTTCCACGGATCCAACCCACAGCGCGCCCCTGCGCGGCCCCCCACAGGCATTAGGCACTTCACACAACAAAGACCTCCCCTTTATCATAACATGGTATGCGAATCCTTCGGCTCGAATAATCCCCACGAATGCATAACTAAATTCTTTTATGCCCGCAGTAAAGAAAATTAAAGCAGCAAATCCAGCTTCCAGACAAATCAAGCAACCGACCCACGAAAGATTCACAGAGCATATCACACACACACACACACACACACACACACACATAGAGAGAGAGAGAGAGAGAGAGAGAGGGGACCTGAGATGGTGGAACGAGCGGGAGCGCGACTGCGATGATGGGTTGCTGAGGAGCGGTCGCCGGCGGCGGCGCCGAGGCGGGATGGTGGCCGAGGAACGGTCGTGTGTGGCTGCTGATGGGAGTTACGGCTACGGGTTGGCTTTCTCATTGAAGGTGATGGCTGCAGCTCTGGAGTCGATCGATGAGGTCATGATTTTAATTGACAATTAACCGTGATTAGCGAGTAATCCACCTTGATTAGTGGGATCACTATTATACAGGTCCAATTATTATTTTTTAAATAAATTTGTAAAAAGAAAATAACTCGACTGACTGAATTATATTGGCTGAGTGTCTCGAGTTTTGTAAATGAAAAAAGTTGATGGAAATGAAATTTCATGTGAATACCCCAAAATTATTACTTTGGCAAACTTACTAAACTTGATTTGCAACTAGAAAACAATGCATAAGCAAGACTACACTTTATGATTTATTAATTAGTTTTCTCAACTTATACTGACTTTTTTTTTTCGTAAAGTTGAAATTACCTAATTAACTAATATAGTCGTCCCGTGCTTCACATGAATTTTCATACATAATTCTTTTTTTTTCTTTTCGAACAATTTATTTTATTACACTTGCTTCTCTACTCTTGCACATTCAACTTCCATGAAAAAGGGCTGTGGTAACGCTTGGAAGCATATCATTTGAAAGTGACGATGCTGACCAAATTGGAAAAGACATATATCACTTGGAAATAATATAATATCGTTTGGAGAATAATCGAACATCGTGGGCTCATTTTGTAATATACATAAATTCTCTTTACGCTTACCAAACATCTCCTATGTCATATTTTGTGAAAAGTTTAATATGCAAGGAACAGGAACTATATCTATTTAATTCGACTCAATTGTTCTTCCATTTCTTTTTGAGTAAATATTATCATTTAAGTAAATTTTAATTATATTATCGGCAATGTGTTATATTGGATGGAATGGAAGTAAATTTAGTCTATTTTACTCTCATTATCATTCTATTATATATACGAGTAGAATTTCTCTACAAGTACATCACATCATGTATCGTGAATAGTAGAGTTAAATTTACGTGAAATTATGAATATTAATACTTTCTCGTTCGTCCATAGTTAATTATACAACTTACTACATCGGATACTACTAAATAAATGCAATGTCTATATGGCTATAACATCTCATTCTAGGTTAGTTTTACTATTCGTAGTCAGGAGATTTTATTTTTAAACTTTCTCTTTCTCTTGAAAAAACTCTTAAATTTTCATTTGAATACAAAAAATTTGACTCCATTTAACAAAATTCAATGCACTTAAGATATATTTGTTTCGCAGAAAATAAATCATTAGAAAATAGGGTTAATACCATGAATAACCCAAAATTGATACACATGTGACAATTTTACCCTGAATTATTTTTTTGATCACAAAAAATCCCAAATTGGTACACTCGTGATAATTTTACCCCGAAATAATTTTTTGACCATAAAAAACCCTAAATTTGTACACCCATGATAAATTTACCCTCCGTTAATTTCGTTAAATTTTACTGTCAAATTATTAAGTTTGATGACACGTGGTAGTTGACGGGTGTACCAGTTTGTGGTTTTTGATTGGCAAAACATTAGTTCGAGTAAAATTGTCGGATACTAAGTGTGGGTTTTAGTGGTAAAAATTATCAAATCGTATATCGTGTGGGGTTTTTAGTGGTCAAAAAATTAGTTCAAAATAAAATTATCATAGGTATACCAGTTTGGGGTTTTTCGTGGCATTAACCCAAAATATTATCCTAAAAAATAAATGTTTGTGTCATTTATAATTTTTTTTTATCATTTGCGAAAATGTTTAAGCTTATTTTTGTGCAAAATATTTATTTTTACTATAATATGTTAGATGAGATTAAATTAAGATGCACGCGACCGAGTCGCACTCAGAAAGGCTCGAGTTGGGGACGAGAGCGAGAGAGGAGCAAAATCGCTGCCGAAGACGCGGCGGCGGCGGCGGCGGAGGAGACGAAGCTAGGGTTTTTCTTCCCCGGGAGAATTCGCCATGGTACCGCCGCTTCCCTTCCCTTTCCCCTCGGGGATTTCGCCGCCCTTGCCGCGTCGCGAGTCGCGAAGTGCGATCGGCGATTTCGTTACGTCTGTTGCATGCGATGCTCCGATTCGCGTGTTTGATGGGGGCGTGTAGCGGTCCGTCTGCGGATCGCTTCGCCGCGATGTTCTGCTCGCGGGCAACCGATCTGTCTGGGAGTCGTTGTCGATCGAGTCGAAGTTGCGCGCGCTTGTTATCGCTGTAGTTTGTGCCATCGCGGGGATTTCTTCTCCGGCAGTAGTAAATTGGATCAGATTTGAGTCGTTGTCGATTGAGGTTTCGAGGATTTTGGAGTGGTTGACTGGTGGTGCAGCAGCTGGCATTGAGTGCCTTCTGTGTCCCGATCAATGCGTGTCTTTCAGTAAAACTATAGGCGTGCTTTGTGTGTGCTGGGTGTTGTGTTGTCCGAGTTAGCGGCGCTGCTGATGTTTTGTGATGTGATGCTCCTTTTGGCTTCTTTGGTTGTCTAATTTCATGTCTGCCTTCTGTTGTAGGTTCTTCTGCAGCCGGACCCGTTTTTGAATGAGCTTACTAGCATGTACGAGAGAAGTACAGAACAGGGCTCTGTTTGGGTTACTCTCAAACGATGTATGATTGGCTGTTTTTTTTTTTTGGATGATTCCACATTCTTGTTTTGTTAATTATTCTTGCAATGATGCAACGTAGCGTGGAATTTGACCGCGACAATTGTATTGCTTTAGCTTCCTTGAAGTCTAAGGTTCAAAGGAATAAGTTGAAAACTGCTGGTGACCCGATTGAGTACAGATGCCTCATACGTGCAACTGATGGCAAAAAGACTATCTCTACCTCGGTATGTTCTCTCTCTCTCTCTCTCTCTCTCTCTCTCTCTCTCATAGAGATATGGGGATGTGTGTGTGTGTGTTCACATGTCCATGTGATTTGGTGCTATAATTGTTTCCTTGCTGCAATCTGTAATTTCAGCCAAATTGAATCTCTAGCATTTCTCTGGGTCAGAAAAGATAGACTGCACGGTGCATGGAATGTGCATGACATATATCTGTACAGATATACATAGACAAACACACATCTGCGCGTGCTTCGTTTTGACCACCTGGTTGAGAACTTCTTAATAACTAACTCACATTGGATTGGAGGACTTTTCTAGGCATGTAATGTGGTTTCAAGCCTTTGTCCTGAGATAAAAACTGTTTGTTCCTCTCAGCGTGACAACTCAGAAGGAGTAACTGTTTAGTTTGTTCTATCATGTGTACTTCTTTTCAGATCACCAAATCTGGTTAGCAAGTTCCTATAAAATGTTAGGAATACCCTGAATTTGAGAGAAATAGCACATGTGACAGCAAAACTATTTCAAGATTTCAATGCGTTGTGGTAATAGAAAATCTTTAGGCTAATACAATTAATCCTCTTGCAAAATTATGTCATGAAGATTTGCATATTTTAGATAAAATTGGAGCAAAATTCTGTCCGAAGATCATATTATAAACACAATAAAGAGTATTGAGAGCAGGAAATGCTTTATGGTTTACAATGATCTCTCAGAGTAGTACTCTCAATTTCCATTCGTCAACTCTTTTTTTGGGGGTTCGAAAACCGATATCTCTTGAGTTCCATGCGATTCTGGATGACATTTTTGGGTCTATAATAGTTCGAGTTGCATTATCTTTTCTATTTCTGGTGAAGAGTTGATGACTTATTTTGCGATTATTCTTGCTATTGTAATGTATAAATAGGTAGGAGCTAAAGATCATCAGCGCTTTCAAGCTTCTTATGCCACGATTCTCAAGGCACACATGACTGCTCTAAAGAAGAGGGAGAGGAAGGACAAGAAAAAAGCTGCTGAAGGAGCGGGGTCGAAGAAGGCACGCCAAGGGTCGTGAGAGCCCATTTTTCATCAAGGCACGTGTGACTTCTCCCTAGAAAAAGGGAGAGGAAGGACATGACAAGATGCAGAAGTATAGGGGGGGTTGAAGAAGATACCACAAGGGTCGTGAAAGGCAATTTTTCATCAAGTTTTGTCAATATGAGTACATTATCCATTGATATTGAAATGCTTGAAGTCTCTGGGGTTTTTTCAATCGGGGGGCCTCTGATTCAGCTAGAGTTTCTGTGAACATCTCATCTTCCGAGTGACGGCTTACGTCATTTTGATGCATCTTTCTTCGAGTCAGAAGATTGTACATTACGCACTTCGATTGCTTCATTGACGTTTTACAATGAGCTTCTTCTCTTGGAAGTAGGCTTTCTTGGTCGTTTCTTTTTGGCGCTGCAATAATTGTTGCCCAGGCCCTTTGTCTCATGAGCGCGCGCCTGTGGCTATACAGTTCGGTTTTGAGCCCCAATCTCACTTCCCAACACCTAGAATGCCCGTCGCCTTGTTTACTCTTGTAAATTATACTCTTTTCTTCTCTTTCCCATTTTATTCGCGTGCTTCTGGAAGTCGAACAATCAGATGGCCTCATTTATCGCTTTAGACGCTTACAACAAGATTTATGGAAATTTAGTGACTTGCAGTCTATTTCAATTTTTTCGTATTTCTAGATGGTCGAGCTTCAGCCAGCATAGAATCAGTAATAATTATCGTTGGTTGGATATTACATGTGAAAACTTGAGGCGAAGGAAATAGAAAGAAATATACAACTATTCCGTGAAAAAAAATTAGAACTCCCAACATTATGGATCAGTTGTTTCATCTTCTTCCCTATTATTCCACATATTCATCCTTTGAAAAACAGATACTTCTTGCTATTTAGCCTTAAAAGCTAGCCTGCAGCAGCACTCAGAGAGGGAGAGAGATTTAGTTACCATGCATTAGTGTGTACCATCTGTGTACATACCAAAATTGAAACTAGTAATTTCCTGTTCAAGTTTTGGCATTTCACCAATATTCTTTATCCTGTACAAAATTACATTGCGAGAAAGCATGTCGTACAATGGTTGCAAAAGAATTTCTGAAGTATCAACGAGGAATGTTAAAATTCCTTAGCTTTTTGTCTTAGTTCGTTCAGCTCCCTCTCTATGTCCGAATCTTGAAGAGACCTACTTGTGCTGGCAGGAACTGTTCTGCCTGGTGGGAGCTCTCCTTTCTGATGCAGAAGGGGAAAACACAACATTTAAAGACGTCCGTATTGAAGATAGAAAGTTCATGAGATATTCGAAAGATGAATCGCCAATCTTCCATTCTTTCCCCACTTCCTTGGCAAAGAGAAACAGGTAGAAAGGGGAGAACTTCTTTCATCGGTCCTTAAACATGAAACTATTAGTTTCTGGAAGTATCCAAAGTAGTCCTAAACATAAAATAGCGCAATATCTCTCACAATTACAGTATTCCTGAATTTCAGGCCTTGAAATGATACTAAATCAGGCCTCTACAAGTTCGATATATTCACCTTTTAAAGCATGAATTGGTTATGCTATTTCATCATCTAAACTTCCAATAGTTTTATCATAAGATAGTGCCCCCGATCACTTGAGCTATTGAGCTGCTGTATGTGCCATCATGGTGATCGTGTTTAGTTCCTCATCTTAAAAGAAAGCCGGTTGAATAATCAAGAGCCATACTGACGGGGAGTTACAAAATATAGTCTTTCGACAAAACACCAAGCATATTGAAAGGGAGCTTCTATGTTATTTCATAAAACTTCTAAAGCTTCAGTCTAGACAACCAACAGTCCGACATTTTTTCTTCTTTACTCCCTTTTTCTTTTCTCCCAGGTCCTCACAATATCAGTATTTTATTTCCCATAGCCCAGCAAGTTTGTTATGCGTGTTAAGTGTTAACCAGATCATTAAAGCATGGTCTCTTTATTCCTCCAGTGGGTAAATAAGTGAAAAAGACATTTACTGCAACTCTCTCCCACTTCAACATCATAGAGAAATAACAAACCAAACCAATACTATCTTCTTAGGGGGCAGAAGACTTACCTTTGAGCTACCAGAGAGTTCTTTCTTCAAGTTCTCAAGATCATCATCAACTGATGAGCCCTCTAGCAATGCAAACTGCCAAGAAGAAAAATACTGAGTAAGAAACTGGAAGCAATATCATTTGTTATAAGCATCGTCAGTCTTGTTAAAGTATCCCCGTATCGCTTATTCATGTGGTTTATATAGGTCTTATCACATGCGGTCTATTTGTTATAAGCATCGTCAGTCTTGTTAAAGTATCCCCGTATCGCTTATTCATGTGGTTTATATAGGTCTTATCACATGCGGTCTATTTTCTGTTAACGGCTTAAGCTTTTAAAATGAACTTTCTAACATGGCTTAGAGCCACATTTTAGTTGTTCATACCCCATATAGTATGTTTTGTTTGGTGTATGGTTCTTGTTTTGTCTTATCCTTGTTCTTCAATCCCATGTTTTGTTATTCATTCTCTTTGCGTAACGTGTTACAGTATCCAACATCACTTGGCTATGAGGTTTATCACGGCCTTCTATATGTGTAGTCTCCCTCCACCGAATGCTTGAACTTTTAGGTTGGACTTTCTTACAAGTCTAATCACAAATGGTTGACATGTTGTCAAATGATGCTGTTGGATCAGATGTGCTACTTGTGCCACCATTTCAATAGTGAATCCGAATTGTTTAGACCCAAATAAATGCATTGCAGTTGTAACATGTACATGGTTGACCTCAAAGAAGCTGAAGCTGCTGTGTTCGAATGGAAAAGCCCCAAGGCCATGGGTTCTTCGATTTTCTCAAGGAATTTGAGAAATCAGTAAAATGCTATAACCAGACCAAATGCAAAAGCAAATTAAATATTAAGAAGGTTTAATGAGGAAGGGAAATCTAAAACACCCAAAAAGGACTCCTTGTATCAATTGGCAAGAAGTGAAAATAAACTTCAGACTTTCAGCTAAAGGTTACAGTTCGAACTTTTGGCACAACATACCAAAGTTTACAGGAAGCTTCACCAATTTTTAGTCAGTTTCACTAAAATTCTCCGTTTATCATAATGTTAACAAGATCTGTTCTCAAGGATAATTGCTTCACTCTAGTAGTTCCTGAGGAGCAATGCAAAGATAACTAACTGGGGGGAAAAAGCGGAACCATTTTACTAATGAGGAGGATTAAATGTAAAAATATACCTAAGGAATCGAGATGCAAGGATAAATCAGTTACCTTTCCTTCAAGATCATCCGATGTCAATTGGCCAAGAGCCTCTGCTTGAGATTCCATTGCCATTACTATCAAATGAACAAACAGAAAGTTTGAGATGCTAGCTTCATCTGACAACTTCACATGCGACACTATCTTAACGCAGAAATATGAGCTATTCTACTTTATTACCCTACTAGACACATGGCATTTCAACAGGCGGCAAAACATAATTTCAGAAAATTTTAGAAACATTGTCACAAAATATCATCTCTAGTTATCATCGAATATCTATTTTTATGTTCTTCACTTAAAGTATATTACCTCATGAGTGAATCCATCACTTGCAAAACCTCACCGCCTCCAGTTTCTTCTACCTTCAACTTATATGCTTAATTTCAAATTAAATCTTCTGTAAATAGCAGAAATTGGCCATATAACTTTCATCAAAGTTTTGATTCAAAGGTCTGAGAGAGTTGGATTAAATCGCAACTAGTTAAGTAGTATAGCAATTTTTTGCCTTGCAATAACTATATTAATTACATGACATCAAATGTACTTTAGCATGTACCCAATGAAAAATAGCCCCAACAATGAAATTTGGAGGAGCAGAAATTCAAAACTCCTTGTATTTTGACAGCGGGAAACGAAATTAGAAAATGAAAAAAAGCGAAACCTTAAAACAAGGTGGCAGTCCAATTGTTTTAGTTTGAACCACTTAAGCGCAATGTAGGTTCTACTTTTACATGCACAACTTCAGTCTGCATGTTCTATCTTTACCAATTATAACTAATGTTCCCATACCATTTAGAATACATTGATAGCCTTATGTGAAGATTGCTGTCACAGGCAGACTAATACATAATACAACATAGATAATTAAGTGGGACTCGTTAACCAATTTAGCTTCAGTGTAGGGAAAAGATGAAACCTAAACAAAATACAATCCACTTTCACTTTCTTCCCAATTAAAAAGAAAAGAGAATTTGCTATGGTTTTGTTCGGCTTGATTCTATTTTATACTGATAGCTTCCTTTCCCTTTTTTTTTCTTTTCAGACGCCTCTAGGCCATGGCATTCTTCTTCAAAGGATGAACGAACATGTACAAAGTAACTGATCACTCAGGAAATGTAGAGCACTAGTAGGAAGAAAAGTAGCTTAATTCAAATCCTTATATCTTTTCTCATAAATCAATTAATCAGTGAAAACTGTACAGGAAAAATAGAAAGTAATGATTTTGAGTTTGTCATACTGTTTAATTATTCATTTTAAATTCAGACAAGATGAAAAATTTATATCTATATATGTCCAGAACTCTGACGGAAGTGAAGAACTGTCAAGGTCTGACACAAAAAGAATATATGCAGACTGCCCTTCAAGCAAGCAAACAATAAATTCCAATCAGTAGAAATTTTACCTTTCTCTTCCATCTTTTCAAATGCTGAAAGGGCATTACTTGTGTTAACATTTCCTAACATTTCACTAACTTTGGTTGCAGTCCTAAGAGATAAAAACAAGAAAAAAGATGAGCATCTCATATGAGTGACAGAGCAAAGCAGGAAGGGAGATAGCCATGGGAAATGATGGCAGAGACAAACTTCGCAGACTGAGCACGGGCTTTCAGAGTATCCTTTTTGGACTTTGCCTCCTGTATTTTGCTCTCCAAAAGCTACACAAAAATGGATTTCATGGAATGCAACTGTGACAAAATCAGTATCTCTATATGAATATACTCCTTGAGGAAATAATATAAAAAGCAAAAAAGTACGGCCAACTTTCTCTTTAAATATCCAGAGGCCTATACATAACAATAGCTTAAGTAATTTTAAACAATCATTTTAACCTACTCATTTGCTAGCATATATTAATTTAAGGGTACAAAAAGCTGACATTTATCTAGAATCACCCATGCTATGAGTGCATACAGCTATTACGGAGTTGATATACAACTAGCTGGTGGCTAAAGTGCAGTACAAATAACTACAAGCACATCTTTTTCATTACTCTTTTGAAAAACTGCTTGTGCTACCTATGAAAGAAAGCAATGATTGATCACAAGTAACACTGAACGGAGAAATCGAGTTTATTTCATTACATATTGCACTGCTTTTGATAAAAGGGCTCTAAATGACCTTGTTCTCCAATTTTTTTCTTTTCAAACCCACCTCCTTTTGAACTGTTGTTTCAAAGTTAGAATAGAGATACAATTTTGTCAAAGGAGTCTTCCCATCCCAATGATTACCAGAGGTCATTTCTCACCTAAGACAATTGGTGACTGAGTTACAAGTATACTGCCGAAATCTGCCTTCACTGCTCATTTAGGGTTAAGTAACCTTGACAAGATGAGAACTTGACATACCCTGGTATTTGAGACCAAATTATCAACCACAGTCTTCTGTTGATCATACTGTGCTTTTAAAGCACTGGCATTGTCCTGAAAAAGAAAATATTGTGTTGAAAAAGAAATTCGGCACCATCTATCATATTACTAATACGTCGAAGAAAAGTACCGTTTCTAGATCTAGCCATAAGTAAATAAATATCATCTCAAGTTGCATCATATGACTATTCAGGACCAAAAAATAAAAATAAGAGGGACTATGCATGTTTTCAATGAAAACTAATGATGGCAATAAATATGAAATTATTGAGACTAAAAGAAAAAGGATGTATCCATACACATCTCATGGTAATGAATTCAGTTATAAAAGTAAAAGGTAAGATTGCAATAAGGTAAATGTTTGACCATGTTGAGAAACCTAACCGTTGAACTCTATCAATATCTGTAGCTATCAAACAAAATTAACAAGAAATATTTGAAGAAAAATTAGACTGGTTTGAATGAATTGTGATGTGTACATAGGACAGACCTTTTACGTAATAGACAGAAAATTAGAACTTCACCTAATATGTAGCAAAAGAAGGACTTCATGAGAGTCAAATCTGAAGCACTTTAGAAGAAAATAAAAAAGAATTAATTATGTGCATTCATTGTTCTTTTCTTGCTCTTTTCTTACTGAAAAGCACTCTGTTCCCCAAGGATTCAAAACCTTCCAGATCATGGACGCTTGTTGCAAACTATGCGTAAAGATGTATAACCCAGTTATTGTATAAGTGCAGACTCAAAGATCACAGGATAAAGCAGTCGAGCTATATTTTCTTTTGTCAGACATACTTCCTGAACCCAAATTATAAGATCACTCAGTATAAGAATTTGAAAGGAAACAACAAAGTACTATCATTTTCATCTCCCTCTAAGAAGCAATCTCCAGGGGAAATCATCCAATTTCAACTATTTTTCCAGGAACTTTAGCTTACTACACTGAATTAAACTAAAAAGAAATAGCAGACAAAATATTATTATTGACTGTCACTTGTGAGACAATGATATATACGTGCATTTAGTTTGAACTTTTAACGCAGCACCTTCAAAACATACTAAGCTGTCAGTCTCTTAACTTTCCAAAAGTGACCGTGATAGTTTGTAGAGAATGTAATGTCTTATATTTCCTTGCTTTAACATTGTTAGCTGACGTGACCATAATTTCTGTTATTTTGACGTTAGATTTGCCATACTGGCATCCATGTGGCTTACATGTGGCTTCCCATCATCTCTCTCTCTCTCATTATTTTGGTGCAAAAAGAAAGGAAAAAAAGATTTGCTAACTTGGGAAAACAACATGGTAGTCCACATCATTATTTTAGCCCAATAAATGCTGACGTGACAATCCACATTGGAAAAGTGCACATGGTGGTACACTTAATGGAAGGACTGCATTGTGCAGATTTTTGAAAGTTCAGGGATTATATTGAAATAAACAAAGTATAGGGAACACATTGAATATTCAAGAAAAGTTCAAGGACCACCCATGTCATTACCCCTAGATTCCAGGAAAATGAATATCTTGCCCGCAATCTCATCACAAGCAGAAGAAAATTTAAATAGAGCACGATAAGAGAACACCGGTTTTAGTTAAGTAATAGTCCACAACTCCAAAGAAGAATCTTATGAAAAAACCTTCGCAAAATAAAGCACAACTTACAGCATAAGATTTTCTCCTTTTAAGAGCCTCACGTGCAAGATCTTCCTCTCCTTTCTGAAGAGCCAGTTGAGCCTTGCGATACCTAAGACAGAATTAGGATCGCGAAAAAATAATATCACGAGAACTAGCGGGAAACTAGTCTAATCCCATATACCACTCTTCTGAGGCCTGCTCTGCAGCTTTATATTTGTTCTCCAACCGCTTTTGAGATGCAATTACCTTTAAGGAACACATGGGATCTATTTAGAACAAAAACGAAGAAATAAGAGACAAACTATGGTTAATAAACTAGGAAACTTTATAACAAAGATCATTTTGAAGCTTCTAGGAGTAGGAATTTTCAAACTATACTACTCTTCATCAGGCTCGAATCACTTGTTGCTCACCTTTCCACATTTAAGAAAACAGAGACTTATTTACTGAAGAAGCAAAGTGAATAAGGGGAAGTGAAAAAAGACAGGACGGAAAGAGAAAGAAAACATGCAGCAAGAATTGGAAAGCTTACTTGAGCTGTTGCTTGCCTCATTTTTATCAGGTCATCATTCATTTCAAGCACTGTCTGTTCTAAAATCTTCTCTGGATCTTCAAAAGTACTTATGACTGCATTGGCATAAGACTGCAGTTGGGAAAAAGTGAATCAGGTTATATACTGTAATTGAAAGTAAAACAAGGTACTCTGATGTGCATATGTGAACAGATCCATGAACTCAACCTTGACCACTCGAGCAAACCGATCAAAAAGATTCATACGAGAACCAAGAGCACCACCACCTCTTCTTTGACAATCTGATCCTTTGCAACGAGCAATTCTGAGTTTTGTAACTCTTAAAGCCCCGGCTGCATGAAAATTTTTGTCGTGTAACTGTTCAATCATAAAGATATAGGGTGGAATTGCACTAGGGATAAGTTTTAGGACTTTTGGTGCCCTCATCCCATTTCTAATAGGTATTGGAAACGAACAATTACACTTTCATCCTTACCAAAAAAAACAATTACACTTTCAACACTGGTACAGGCATAGTAAAGGTACAATGTCTAGACTTTTAGTTTTAACCACACGAGATTTGGATGATGTCAAACAGAGGGTCGTGCATTGACAAACTGTAAGGGAGAACATCTAACAGCATGCTACAGACCACTTAAACTTGGCCAAACACATTGCCTCATGGTAAGAACCTCTTCCATGGATCTTTGCAAGGAACTGCATACCCTTTTTCATTTGAGGTCTAGCAGTTGTATCATTTACCGCAGACATGGAAGCATAAGGTACATAAACTGTCTCTCACATCTATCTCTACACACATAAAGCCATCTTAGATATCTTCCAATGTCTCTGGGATTGCTCAACTTCTACCTAAATTTTCTCGCCGATGATAAAGGAGATAGTTCACTTATTGCCTCAGGGGTGTTCTCACAGTGCTATCAAAGGCTCTTTTTTTTCCATCCCTTTTCTTTCTTTTCCAAAAATCTACGAGGAATTCATACTGTTGTTAAGTAGTACACCAAGGGAACCAATCTCTGCCTCTAACTTACTCATCACCGCACTAACCAAGGTCCGGTTGAATTGGACAGAAGATAATGCCGCCGGAAACATTTCCTCTCATCAGTAACATCATTGCGCTCAAATACAATTCTAATACGCACCACACTTCGATTCCTTTTTTTCTTTCTCCCTCAATCGCCTCCCACACTACGAACCAGGAAACTCCAATTACAATGCAATCACTTCAAGCCCATCGCCCGTTCCTCCGCATTCGCCCGCAACCTTCCAAACCCATACTCCGACACGCAATCGACTTCACAGGGAACAGCAACTTCACTGCAATCGGCACTTCAACTCGGAGAAAAGAAAACCCGGGTAAAAAGATTCAGCGAGAGAAGACGCACCTCCGCCGTTGAAAAAGGAGGTCGCCAGGGGCTTCTTGGCGACGCAGAGGAGGCCATCGCCGGAGCTCGAGGAAGCGGGCAGCGTCGGCGGAGCCAAACCGGCGAAAGTTTGGAGCTTCGCGGCCATCGAGTTCGTTCGTTCGTGCTCGGACTCGAGCTCTCCGAAGTTCAAATGCTGCAGGAGAAGAAGAGCATGTGGAAGAAAGGAGGAGGACGACTCAGGTGGGACAAATGCCGCTCTCTTTCGAGATAATATTTAATTTTTTCTTTAGTCTCAGATAAAATTTGCAATTTCCGGAAAAGGAAACAATGGCGCCACTCACAAATTATGCAAAACAAAAAAAAGAAGAAGCAAAAGCCACGAAAAAACCCTAAATTATACTCAACACATTTATCCTAAACTTCTTTCTAAGACACAAAAAATTTCAAATTTAAACTTATATGACATATTTACCCTCCGTCAAAATCCCATCAACGAGGACCGTTAAACATAGCAAATGTTGTTGACATTGAAATAAAAACGACATTATTTTGACTGAAAAATTATCTAACGGAATATCGATAGATGGTAAAATATGTCACATGAGTACACATTTGGAGTTAGGATAAATGTGTCATTATGGGTATAGTTTGAGATTTTTAATATCACAAAAAATAATTCAAGATAAATGTGTCACAATGCATATAATGTGCGGTTTTTTTTTTTGTGTGTCTTTTTCCACTATTTATTTTTGTTATTCTCCGATAAAATTTGCATTTTTCGAAAAACGAAAACACGAAAGACCCGCCGATTTGGCCGAATCAAAAAAAACCGGTTCAATTTTGGAAAGGTTGGTCCTAGGACGAAATGCATATCAATAGAACGTTTATTTTTTTTTTTTGGGTAAATACTTAAGGTTTAGTTCACGCTATACTTATTTTTAGAATTTAATATCTCCGATAAAATTTGCATTTTTTACGGAAATTAGGAAAAAAAATGGCACCCGACCCGCCCGCCAGGCGCCAAGGGCCTTTGGGGTCCGACGCCCGACCCTCTTCGTGCAGGCCCGCTCATTGATCGTAACACCAACGGAGGTTAACGGCCGCCCTTCACCGCCGGCGCTGAAAACCAGAGCTTCCTTCGTCGCTCATCTTCGTCGTCGCTTGCTCAGCCTCTCTCGCTGGAGCTAGAAGAGACGCGTCTCCGTGGCATGGATTTGGAGTCGTATTACGAGATCGATCGCACGGCGGAGTTCGTCCAGAGTCGGAACTTCGCCAGAGTTGCTCTGCAGGTAAGAAGCGACCCTCTGCCTCTTCCGTTGATTCCGTCGATCGCTCTGCTACTCGTGAACTCGTCGAAAGAGACTGATTTGGAGCTGAAGTTGCTCTAGTTTCGTCTGGTTTGCCGCCTTTTCGGCCCTTTTTTGGAGCTTCGGAGGCGAAACGCATACTGACTTCTATTAGCTCGCTTCTGGCTGGATGATATGAATAACACACTTCTCTTTGGTGAATGGTGAACTAAGTGGAAAAGCAATTTAACGTAGTGATCTTGACTGAATCCTGGTTGCAGAAGTTTCGGAATTCCGAAATCTTTATTCGCCGCTGCTACGTATGTAATTGGATAGATCAGCATGTAGGGTCGAAAGTGATGGTGGCATGGCGAGTATAAACCGGCGCTGTATCCATGACGACAGGGTGTTGTTCGTATTCATGGTTTAATGAGCTTATGGTTATTGGCTCAGCCTTCAATTGTGTAGTCCACGTCGATCCATCTATTCTTTTTTTTTTTTTTGTGTAAGAATAATTTTCTAGTTCAAGATATGATGAATCGAGGGAATTCATTTCTTGCAAGGTCCGATTTTGCTTGTTTTTTCGGGCAGTTTCCGGATGACCTGTTAAAGGATTCGACAAAGGTGGTGAGAGCTTTACGTACGAAACTTGCTTCTCTGAGACCATCTTCTGGTGAGGAAAACAGGGGAGACGGTGATGTTGGGCTATTCGTGATGGCAGACACCACATTCGGTAGTTGTTGCGTGGACGAGGTCGGGGCTTCACATATTAATGCTGACTGTGTCATACATTATGGGCATACTTGTCTTACTCCGTGAGTATTCTCCTTGAGTTGTCGCTCATTTGACATTGTTGGTTCATTTGGAGTAGTTTATGGATTTGATCGTTTCATCTGTGTCAGTTTGCCTAATTCCTATTATTTAGAAATCCAATGAAGATATCAATTAACATGCATCTATATCGCCCTGGACGTTGACGCCTTTCTTGCTTCCTCTGCAGCACCTCAACCCTTCCAGCATTTTTTGTTTTTGGAAAGGCTCCTATAAATGTATCAAATTGTGTGAACAGCCTATTGCACACTGCTGATACAGCTGGTAAACCTGTTATGGTAAGAGATATTTCTGCTTCATGTTGAATAACTGAATGACAAGGTCTAGCCTTTTGTAGGTTTTGAAAACTTGGGAACATTACAGACAGTTCCCACCTTTTTTATGTTCCAACTTAGTTGCCTGCACAATTTTGAGAAGTAATATGATACCCGCCCATGTGATTATCATTAAACCTGCTTAACAATTCTAATTGGGAGATCCTGATAATTCTTTGTGCCTAATCACAACTGTGATATGTAAAAATCTATCCATCTATGGCTTTATCAAATAAGGACATAACTAGAGAAGCCTTCATTTACTTGATTTACATAAACTTTTTTAGACTTTTACTTTTTGCTAAACGTAAATATTGCAACTTATGCACTTTGAAATCTGGAACCCCTGAAACTTTCAAAATACTAAAATGTTGACATGTAAATTCCCATACAATTTTCTCATATTCTTTTGAAATTTAAATAATATTCTAATTTTTAGCGGGAAAGCAAAATGGTACTTTTAGCTTTTGCTTAAGTGTACACAAACAGGCCCTCAAGTTTATATTACATATAGAGGTTTCTAGAGTCGAGACTATGGCCCATTCATTGCATATGAAGATTTTAAGGTTGGTGTTTGTTTGACTTGCTTGAAATTGGGAGGAGGGGGTTTGGCTTTTAGCCTTTTTCTTTAGCTTGAGCTTTTGGCAATTGGACGCTGGATTTTTTTTATTTTGTAACTCCTGAAATCTCAAAACATACAGAATTAAGCACCCTGCCCTGCCCCTAAAAAGAAAAAAAGGGCCCTTAGCTGTTCGCAGAAATTTGTGATGTCATGTGGTTTATTCACACCTGCAGGTTCTTTTTGGGCTGGAATATGCCTATGCTATGCTGGATGTGAAAAAGGCAGTGTTGGAAGCATTAGTATCCTATGAATCCCAAGCTGAACTGGAAATCCAATTTTCTGATGTTGTCTGTTCAGTGCTAGATCCATCAGGGAAGTCTGGGAACTCTGGCGGAATCACGGAATTAATTGGTGTGTCTAATGCCAATGATGCTGTTGGTGTACAAACTGGCACTAGGCACAGCACTGGAGGTCTAGTCTGGAATGTGCCTCAAGGGCGCAAAGTGGAGGACTACTCAATGTTTTGGATAGGATCAGAGAATGCTGCATTTGCAAATTTGGTTTTGACATTCAATGGGTGTGAAATAGGTATGTAAATTTGAGATATATTGTATCCTTTTAATTGTTTGTTGTAAAGGTCCTCAAGCTGGCAAGGAGAAAAGGCTAGGCCTTCCTTAAATCTACTGTTTTATGTGGCTTGACGTGAACTCTGTCCTTGCTAAAGAGATTATTCCTTGAACCTCTACTTGCTGCTTTTGATTCCAATTTGCATAAGTTTGTGATCTGTTTTGGCACTATCTGAAAAATTGATTTGAAATAAGCCTCTCCTACAAATAACAGCTGTTGACAATGACATGCTGTTTTTACTAAGTGGGATCATACTTAACATGAATTCTTCAACACCACTGTACATTTCTTATATTCTGCCCTGTCTCTCTCATGCGTTTCCTGTGTGTGGAGTGGGAATTTTATATTTGTTGTGGTAGGAATGGTACTGGGGATGGGGGAGGATGAGGGTGAGGACAAGGGTGACGGGCACTGTCAACGCTGAACAGGCCAAAACCCCTAATTAGAACATTGGAAGGAGGAAAGAACTTCTTGAGTCAGCAAATGTTCTGTACTAATATGCCATTGGTTGATTGACCACCTTAATAATCTGCATCATGCATTATTTCAATCATGTGATCCTCTTAATTATGAGTTTTTGCTTGGTCTTCAAGTGTTAATAGACTCCAATTGAGTGGGATCCATTGAACTCATCTTCGTAGGTTGGATTCGTGGTGCTTATTGCCTTTATCCTCAGAAAGTTGTCTAGATGTACTAGTTACCGGCATCTTGTTGATTCTGATAAATGTAATGATAGCCTATGTGTGTTTGCGCTTGTCAAATAAGTGAGTGTAATGTGTCTATTATCTTTCACTCACTACAGAGAAAACTGATTAACCAAGGGAGTACCATTCATGTACAAAACTACATTCATGAGACAGTATATCAACATTAACAAATAAAGATCTGAGTGTGGCTCTATGTTATTGGGTGAACAACAAAACCTAGTAGGTGTACCCATCTATTTTCTGTGAAATCAACTCTAGAATCCATGTTCTGGGATGCTTTTTCTCTAATACTTGCAGCTTCAACCAGGATAGACCCACAATTTCTGATGTGGAGATCTTTATCTGTATTTTATTATTCTTTGATATCTTGGTCATGGTTATTGCAAAGTCATGAAGGACGACAAGGGCTGGATCAAGGGAGGTTGTAACTATAGTGTCAATACCTGGTCACGATAGCAATAATATTGTGGCCTAAGACTTCCTGTGGCAACTTGATGACCACAGTCAAGAGCTGAAAGTTCTTATTCCCGGTTAACATTGCTCCTCAATACAGTCCTTCACCCCTTACCTCAGTGCCTCGGTGTAAAATTGCACTTGCAGGACTTGAAGTGCCGGATGTTGGACATGCTGCTATACGATCTCTATCCTATGACTTTGTCTAAACTTCAGCCCTTTTAGTTGACCTTCAGTCATACAGGTCTAATCATCTTGCTGAGTACTTCTGCTAAGTTCATAGGTCTAATCATCTTATTGGTCTATCATATCTCCATTCTTATTGGTCTAATCATCTTAGCAAGTCCTTCTTGCCAGAGCTTGAGTGAGCTATGTACAGCTTTTAAAGGAAATTATGGATAAAGTGAACATCTGGTGGATCAAAGAAGTGTTGCATTTACTTCCATTTACCTCAAAATAATAAGAATAGATGAGATATGTATAATTAGATGTTTCATCTTAGACCAGTCTTATCATTGTGGTGCATCTCCCTTTTAGCAAACTTCATTTGAGACTAATGATGATTGGTTTCAGTCAGATATGATGCGACAGAAGATCGCTTGGTGACAGATTTATCACAACAGAGAAGAATACTCAAGCGTAGGTATTATTTTCAACCCTAATGCTTCTACTCTTCTTCAGTTGTTTCTGGGATTGGATCTATATTAAATTTACATTAATTTCATGCAGATACTTCCTGGTGGAGAAAGCAAAAGATGCTAATATTGTTGGGATTTTGGTGGGGACCCTTGGTGGTGGTATGTTCTGCTCATAATATCTGGTGGAGTGCTTGTGTTTAAGTAGCCAGTGTTCCTCTTTCTGGGGATCCATAAACTTGTCCTTCTGGCTAAAGGATTATGTGCCTTTCTTAAAGGTTAAAGGGTGCTCACAGTATATGTTAGTTCTGTGCAACCTTGAACTAGTCTTAAAATGTAAATCTCTGCCCAGTTCACACTTTCCAGCATTTCATGTCTCGCATGTTCCATTGTTATTATTTTTTCTTTTTTTTTTTTTTTGGGGGGTGGTCTAATATAAACTACGTACATTGTTTACATCATCGATTCGAATTAATTAATTGTATTCTGTAATCAGACGTTGTCAATAGACAATTTTCAAAGGGAGCAAAAGAGAAATATAAAAACATTTGGGATAGAATTTTTGAATGTGCGGGGACTAATAAAAGAGAGCTTATGAAGATGTGATCAATTTGTGGCTGGAAAAATAGATGTGATGGAGTCAGATGTTATCTTGACATGTTGTTGCTCACCGGTTGTCTTGCACTATGTTTCAAAGCTTCATATTTTACATCTGCTGCTAGCAGAAAAGTTTTGTGACAATTATGCTTGTGCTTTTGTTGGGACATTTCTCTAACTCTCATATTGTGTTGAAGCCGGCTACCTTCATATGATACATCAAATGAAAGAGCTGGTCACAGGAGCCGGCAAAAAGGCATATACTCTTGCCATGGGGAGACCAAATCCTGCAAAGCTTGCCAACTTCCCTGAGGTAAAGCTGATGCATAAAATATTATTTTTCTTGACCTATTGAGCAAGACTAGCTCAGAATCTCTGGTGACTGTTTCAATCTTGGCGCAGTGCGATGTTTTCATCTATGTCTCCTGTCCCCAGACAGCTCTGCTGGACAGCAAAGAGTTTTTGGCTCCTGTAATCACACCATTTGAAGCCATGATAGCTTTCAAGAGGTACCAAGTGTCGCGATCTCCCCGAATGCTAAATTTTGTGCAATTAATTTAATTGGGCAAAAATATAGGTGTCAACACCAAGTGATTGACATCTTACTGCTGTCATGGTCCAGTTTTGTCTAGATTTTGAACTTCTAAGATTCTCAATCTCTCTGTGCTCTCTTCGTTAAGTGCTTTCCATCTTTGATGTCTTCTGGTTGTTGTGTTCCCCTCTTGCAGTTATAAAGAACTGTGATGTTCAAGTAGTTACGGAATTATGAAGACAAGTTGTTTGAGGATATCAGGAACAGTTTTCAGACAGCATCTTTCTTATCGGTCTCCTTATGTCTATGTTTACTCTGGCTGTGGTTGTATGCCAGCGTATTCATGGTTGAGTTATCTGGTTGCAATTAAAATCCTTATGAAGAAGAGCATTGTTAGTTGCTACTATAAGAAACAAATAAAATCCTTATGAAAATTTGACACCATGAATTACCCATAAATTTTGAAAACTAAAATAGATAGGAGGTGAGCAATGGGGACCGAAATTCCTGGCCTACATCATAAGATTGTATAGTGGAAAAGCTTTGCTATAGCCATGGTCAGTTATTGGTAGGAATTAGAAACCATGCAAATCATAACAAGCTAAAAAGATGTGTCAGAAGTGATCTTGCGGGAACCCTGAATTTGATACATAGCAAAACATCCATGTTTATGTTGGTGTAATACAGTGCTACCATTGTCTCTTGCGTAGGCATTTCCACTTTACTTTCTGGAAAAACTGGACATGTTGAATTTGACATACTCAAGAGGCTTTGATAACTCTAGAAGGCTCTTTGCCACTATGAAACTGTCTCACCTCTTTCATTTTGCAAAATGTGACCACCCCACTTCCTTTTACTGTTTTGAGTTATCCTCGTTCTTCTTGTTGCCTTGATTTAGTTTGTTTTGTTTGTTTTCCATGCTCAAACTAGCTTAATCTTGACGTTACTTTCTACCTAGTTTCTGGCCATGATAGAAAGAATGTGATAAGTGGCCAAAAAGTGCTTTATTGTACTAATATTGAGTAATCAACATTTGAGTCTTCTCGTCGTTAGCCAAAATAAAAGGAAAACGAAAAAGAATTCCTGTCTGCTCATGAGCCTGCAAGTATAAGGAAATTCAAGGGATTATCCACTAAGGCATCAGTTGTGTGGCTCTGTCGTTATCTCTCTGTATATATGCTACATATGGTTGCTAATGTATCCATATTTATATGCACTAGTGGAAGTCAGTGGACAGGAGAGTATATTATGGAATTTCGGGATTTCATTAAGTCATCCCCAGAAGAAGTCAGGAATCCATCAGAAGAAGCTCGTTTTTCCTTCCTTCAGGGCGGATATGTAGAGGACCAAAATCTGGAAGGTATGTTTTCTTTCTCACCGTATTTCAGAGATACATTTTACATGCAGAGAAATCCCCCCGGTTATGATCAGTAGCTACTTATTTCTTCTGCTCAATTTTTTGCTCCACTAGGGATTGGCGAGGAAGATAATGAAGGAGATCTCGCATTGGCGCATGCCACAGAGAAGGCTCTTTCTCTGCGTAAGAGGCATCCCAATTCTGTTGTCAAAGGAACAGCTAAATCTGGGGCCGAGTTTCTTGCAGCTCGAACGTATCACGGCCTTGACATGGATAGCTACAGTTCATCCCCAGAGCCGTTCATAGTTGGCAGGAGTGGCAGAGCGTCGGGGTATGAGGATGAGAAAAGCCGTGAGAAGGATTAGATTGGTCTGATAAAAAGTTTAGTTGCATTGCGATTCCTGGATGCAAGTTACCGACCATCTTGATTGATAAAGTTGGTGTAGTTCAGTCGATGGACAAATTCAAATGGCCCCTCATTTGGTACTCTTCTCATCAATTTTGATCGAGTCTCAATACCTTTCATGTGGCTGGGGAGCAGGAGGCAGGGACATCGGGTGCGTTGCTTGGGATCAAAGGGTGCCTTGTCATCTCGAGCTCATAAAGCGGCAAATGTGGAATGTAACTTGTAATGATTGGTCTTTAGCAAATTAGTTTGAGAGAGGAAAGGCTAATTTTAGGGGGATTGCCATAAAGTACTCGAGAAAATTCTGTTGTAATTACATGATAGTGAGAGCTTATGCTTTGGGTTCTTGTTTTCTCATTTATTTTTCTTTTTAAAATTGGCTTTTGGGCTTTTTAGTTCTTGCTGTGTCACGGCGTTAGCTTTACTGGGTTCTGTAATTACATTTACGGTTCCATAGCAACTAATTGTGTTGGGGTTGTTCCTTTGACCCAAAGAATAACACTGCAAGCATGCACAATCGCAGTTATATGTACGGCATTTGGATGATAACTTTGACTTCTATTCATGGGAAAAGAAAAACGTGAAAAACGCTCTTTGGAGTTCATACATGGAAGCAGATCATTTTCAGCGACGGGGAAGGACAGGAACACAGGTCAACAACCACTTCGTCACGAAAGGGGATGGCTCTGAGAATTGGTCAGAATGATTTCTAGAAACGAAGTGATGGACGGCATGGTGGTCAACTTTGGGATCGTTGCACTGAGGATGTTTCCTAGGACTTTTGAGTCTGGGATGATAATGTGGGAAGCTTCATCTATGAAATGGTCTCCCCTGAATTCGAGTGCCCACGTTTGAAAATGAGTATAGCTCGCTAATGATGCGTTTTGACTTTCCGAAACCCTCGAAGCATTCCAATCTGATTAGCTTAATGATCCTCCTTTTTCCTGTCTAATTTCAATAGCACTATCGCCGTGTAAAGAGTGAGATAACGATTCCATCTGACTAGCTACCACGTGTTTAGCCTAGCGGCGATCGATCTCTCGAAACCTGACTCAAGAACAAGAACCGAAGTAGCAATTCCACGAGACGTAATTAGCTGAACGCACTTGCTCATATATCAAATTCCGCCATAGCTATTTAAGCCTCTTTGGCTGATTAAAGGGATGACAATTGAACTAGTTTTTAGAAAGTTTAGCATTTTGAGGAACAAGAACAAAAGTTTGACTCGTTCAAATCCAGACTTGCGGTCAAATATGTGCATGGTGGTTCTTGTGTGGCCGCAACTCATTTATCTCTAGAATGATCCCCCAGTCAAACACTCAAAAAGTCAACGCCACTATCACAGCCCTCATTTTCAACTGTTTAGAGTTTTATTCTCTTTCCGTTTTGCACGGTCCAAATTCGCTGACCTTGCGAAGCTCAGGCAATATGCAAATTGCCCTCGTCCATCACTATAAATATCCAAGCCTCCCCTCATCAAAACTACACTTCAATCTATCATTCCTCCCTTCAAAAAAGATGACAACCCTCAACCTCAGGAAGCTCCTCCTGACCGCTGTCGCGGTCGCCGGGATCGTCGTCTCAGCTCTGCCCGACACCACCTCGGCCCAGAACTGCGGGTGCGCGGCCAACCTGTGCTGCAGCCAGTGGGGCTACTGTGGCACGGGGGACGACTACTGCGGGACAGGTTGTCAGGAGGGCCCGTGTAACGCACCGCCGCCGACGAACGACGTGTCGGTGGCGGACGTGGTGACGGAGGCCTTCTTCAACGGAATAATCGGGGTGGCCGCGGAAAGCTGCGAAGGGAAGGGCTTCTACTCGAGAGAAACGTTTCTGGAGGCCGTGGGGAGTTATCCTCAGTTCGGCAGAGTCGGGAGCGTGGACGATTCGAAACGAGAGATTGCTGCATTTTTCGCTCATGTCACTCATGAAACTGGACGTAAGTTACCTCTCTCAATCACTTGATGAATTAAATTAGGAAAAGAACGTGATCAAAAGATTGAATGCTAATTGATTTGCGAATGAGCTAAAGGGAAAACTTGCTGCTTGTGGTTGTGCAGATTTTTGCTACATAAACGAGATAGATGGACCATCAAAGGACTACTGTGATGAGACAAACACCCAATACCCATGCAACCCGAACAAGGGGTACTACGGCCGCGGCCCCATCCAACTCTCTTGGAACTTCAACTACGGCCCGGCCGGAGAGAGCATCGGCTTCGACGGGCTCAACTCCCCCGACACCGTGGCCACCGACCCGCTGATCTCCTTCAAGACCGCTTTGTGGTACTGGACGAAGTTCGTCCAGCCGGTCATGAACCAAGGGTTTGGAGCCACCATCAGGGCCATCAACGGCGCGCTCGAGTGCGACGGCGGGAACCCCGCCACCGTCCAGGCTCGGGTTCAGTATTATACAGAGTATTGCAACCAACTTGGGGTGGCTCCTGGAGATAATCTCACTTGCTAGCTGGAGTAGGCTGGACGTGAAATCAAGTTGTGCATGTAGAACGCCAGTTAGAAGTAGTTTTTCGGGTGGATTCATTTATATCAATAATGCGCACAACCCAGGAAATAAAAGAGAAATGTGACTTTCAGATTGAGATATCGTCAATAACAATTGCAGAATGGCAGTGGTGACACTGTTCATTTTTCACCAGCTCATCCCTTCAATCACTTAACTACTAACTCACACTGATTTTTGGAGGCAAACCTGCAAAGAAAGATGAGGACTTCGTGGAGAACATGGAAAGAAAGGAGCAAGTTCAATATGTTGTTCAATTCATGAGACATTTATACATGTCACTCGTTTAGGTATTCCATATATTGTTCGATTATGACATGGACACGACTAGGCTTAAGGCAAATGCAATTAATTAAAAGGGAAACGGCATGAAGTGGACGGAATGTTGTTGACGGGTCACCTCATTCATAAACCACGTGAAGATTTGGGGTTACTTTGCTATTTGTAACATTACCGCCGGTCATGCGTTTGGCTCGCTCTCGCTCAATTATGCAAGTTCTTCCGAAACCGAGGATGACGAACTAGTGGTAGCAATCCTTGTCGTCGCGGCTTCTTTGTACAAGTGCAATCCTTTTGGTGGATTACTTAGGATTAACCAGAGGTCGGTTTCCTGAAATGGCCATGATCATTGAATTGAAATTTTCATTCTACACATGCCGACATTAACTAGCTGTGTGAACTGGTGTATGAATGTCCGCCAGCACCTCGTCGCAGGCCATTGCGGTCCATGATCTTCGTTTTGGTCCAACAATGGAATAAACGAGATTTGCATTTCTTCATAGGTTGATAGTAGATACTGATATATTATTGAGTATGTGAGATTGGAATCATCCTTTAAATGAGGAAGTGCCAGATTGGAATCTACCTCCGATTCCGCTGTGCCCAGCCCGAACCTCTCCTTAGTTTTTGTCGCTCCCTTTTATCTTCATCTAGAGAGAGAGAGAGAGAGCCATTAAGGTAGAGAAGTAACAACAATCACGTACAAGGATAAGCATCATCGTCATGATTTGAGTTTAATATCTTGCGTGAATAATTCACGTGTAATTATTGATCTCCTTTCCTCCTTCTTTCTTCGGAGTATTTGTATCTCCTCATATCCTATAACTGCTTGTCGGTTACTTCTATGTTTTCAAACTTTGAATCTTAGCGCTTTCAATAACTGCCTTATCTAACCACGTTTTCCAATTTCATTGTCCGCCAAAACTTAATCTCAACCACTGGGACGGCTTCAAATTTGGACAAGTAACTCCCCACGATCTGCTCGTGCTCACTATCTCCGCTTTTGCTCAAAACTTCCTGCTATCATGATTCACGTGGCGGGCCGTAATTCATCTTTACCGATTTTTTGTAATTTCGGTATATTCCCGAAGTATAGACTTTCCATGTTTTGGTAAATATCCCGATCTTCATCAATTACCGAATTCGGGATATGATGCCATTCACGCTTGCTTCCCAGCATGTTTCCGAATTTTATCCAAACGTATTTCGGAAGATGGCTGACTTCCATTATACACCAAATTCGGCATTAAAGCCGACTCAGCGTCTATGCCGATTCTTATTTTGGTGTCAACAGTAATGTTTTTTTTTTTGTCCAAGGTTCAAACTTCCCGAATTGAATGCCAGATCAGCGAATTCTTATTACTTTAATTAATGAAAGGATAATATTGGATATTTTCATATAGTCTAAGGACTAGATTAAACATATATCAGAAGTTCATGGATTACATTGAACAATTTAAAAGTTCGGAGATGACATTGCACGTTAAGTTAAAATTCATAAACCATATTGAACAAATTAAAAATTTAGGGACAATATTGCATAATGGGCTAAAGTTTAGAGGCCATTTGTATAATTATCCCAAAATTAAAATAGTGAAGACTCATCAATCAATTAAAACTCCAGAAAAGCCTATTAAATATTAAAATCTAGAAATTAGTAAAAGTTCATTTTTTTTCTTCCTATGATTTTGTCCGGTGAGCTTGAGTCGGGGCCTCGTTTGATGAGTTCGTAGCCTTATTTGAGATTAATAAATTAGCCATTTCGATGTCTTATTCAAGACAAGATCTACTATAAGTCTTCTTTTGAGAATACTATCCCATTTCAGGGCCTTTATTTGAAATATACCCTTAATTACAAGTCTTGCGGTGGGTTTGAGCCTAATACTCCACATTCTTTTCTTTCATTTATGAAAATGCTCCTTATGTTTGGTGGAAAAGACTCGTATGGGTACGCATAGAGTGGTAGAATCCACTTCACCTTTTGATCAAGTAGTACCCACACGATCAATGATTGTGATGAATGTGGTTCATATGTACCCGGGTCCAAATAAAAATCTCCTTTGGAGCAAGAGGGTTTTAACTTATAATGCATTTTGCAACTCTGAAATTGTCAATGGAATCAAAACCGACATCTCATTACATGCTTGCCTAAGTGATTATTACCATTAAATAAACTACCAACTACTTTTAAACTTGACTAGTAACATGAAATGTAACTTGCATGCATTTCACGTTCTTCAAGTATATATTAGCGGTCGATGCAATTGATGCTACACTTATAAGATCTACATGAGAGGACAAAATCCAACTGAGAGCAAAGAATCAAATCCAGAATACAAGGACAAATATGGTGAAAAAATTGATGGTTACGAGCCAAGAGGAACAAAGCTCAGATACCCATGTCAAGAGCAAAACAAAGAAATCTGGTGCATAACGAGACACAACTCTCAAGTGCATCACATTGCTTCCGGTGAGATTAGAGGGAGCCGGCTTATAATGTAAATATGTTTCTTTACCTATATATGGAAAAATTATTGGACATAGAGGGGTGGCGATCACCACCTGCTATCATAGGTCTGTCACTTCGGAGCAACCTTATAAAGTGTTGTAGAATATTAACGCGGAATCGATGGGATCTTGCAAATCAAGTAATGCAAAATCACAAGAGAAATAATGAGGAATGATAAAGGACACCGAAAATTTACGCGGTTCGTGATTCGGTTTGAGTGTTGGTACCTATGAGGAGGGCAAGCAGCAAATAATCTTTTATAATCAGAGAATCGGAGTTACAATTGCTCATACGCTTAAGGATTTCCCACACCTAGATTACATCAAAATCCAAAGAATTCACAAATAAACAACTTCAATTGGATGGAATTCAAGAACGCTGGCGCGTTCCTTTTTGTTTTCTTTTCGCGGTGTCCTATTGCTCACCGTGCGGCAGATCCTTGTGCGGCTCCTTCACAAAGTCTTCTCTTTTTTTTCCCTGTACGTGCAGGCCACGACCACACAAAAGTGAAACCTTCTTTTTAATCCTGCAAACAAGTCTAGAAAACTGTTCCATCAAATTTATCCTAATCCAATTAAGGTAAGGAAAGCGTGCACGAGCTCAAACCCGAGACATGATTTAACACAAAGAGGCACGAACATTCAATTCTGAAGTTCTAATTCACCCGCAGCGACAAAATAGAAACCGGAAATCCCATTCGATGAGTCCGCGGGCGACCTGATCCCTTCATGCCCAACTCAAGAGCAAAGAACTAAGTAGTAATTCCACAAGGTTGTGATTGGTGAAACGCACTTTGCTCAGATATCGAACTCTGCCAAAAAAAAGCAATGTAACCCTCTTTGGCTAATTGGAGGGTATGATACGTTAAACTAAGTTTTGAAGAATAAAACCATCAGTCTTGGCTCATTCAAGTCCGGACTTACAGTCAGATATGGCGGAGCTTGAAGAACAAACTTGTCTAGATTTTCGTCCTCTTTCGTTTCGGCATGTTCCAAATTTACCGACTTTGAAGCCTCATGCAATATTCTAGGAACATCGTTCCCGTCGTTCATCACTATAAATATCCAAGCCTCACCTCGTCAATGCTACAACTCAAATCTGTCATTCCTCCCTTCAACAAAGATGGCAACCCTCAAACTCAATAAGCTCCTCCTGACAGCCGTCGCGGTCACTGGAATCATCACCTCCGCTCTGCCCGACGCCGCCTCGGCCCAACACTGCAGGTGCGCATCCGACCAGTGCGGCAGCCGGTGGGGCTACTGTGGCACGGGGGATGCCTACTGCAGGATTGGGTGCCAGGCGGGCCCGTGTAGCAAACCGCCGCCGACGAACCATGTGTCGGTGGCAAAAGTGGTGACCGAGGCATTCTTCGACGGGATAATCGGGGAGGCCGCGGAGGCTTGCGAATGGAAGGGCTTCTACTCGAGAGGAACGTTCCTTGAGGCTGTGGGGAGTTATCCTCGGTTGGGCAGAGTCGGGGGCGTCAACGATTCCAAACGGGAGATTGCCACATTTTTCGCTCGTGTCACTCATGAAACTGGACGTAAGTTGCCTCTCTCAATCACTTAATGAATTAAATTAGGAAAAGAACGTGATCAGAAGATTGAATGCTAATTGATTTGCGAATAACCTAAAGGGAAAACTTGCTGCTTGTGGTTGTGCAGATTTTTGCTACATAAACTAAACTCCCAATACCCATGCAACCCGCACAAGGGGTACCTACGGTCGCGGTCCCATCCAACTCTCTTGGAACTTCAACTATGGCCCGGCCGGAGAGAGCATTTCGACGAGCTCAACTCCCCCGAGACCGTGGCCACCGACCCGTTGATTTCCTTCAAGACAGCTTTGTGGTGCTGGATGAACTTTGTCCACCCGGTCACAGACCAAGGGTTCGGAGCCACCATCAGAGCAATGAACAGCGCACTAGAGTGCGATGGTAAAAACTCGGCCTCTGTTCGGGCTCGGGTTCAGTATTACACCAAATATTGTAACCAACTTGGGGGGTCCCTCCTGGAGATAATCTCACTTGCTAGCCGGAGTAGACTATAAATGAAATAAAGTAGTGCATGTAGAACGCCAATGAGTTTGTTTGCAGGTGGAGTCATTACATCAAATATTCAATAATACACACAACAGAGAAAAAAAGTAGAGAATTGTGACTTTCAGATTGAAATATTGCGAATCACAATTGCTAAATGTAGTTGTAACACTGTTCATTTTTCACCAGCTTATCCCTTCAATCATGCAACTTTTCAACATATTTTGGAGGTAAAAGTGCAAAGAAAATGAGGACTTCAAGGAGAAAATATAAATAAAGTAGCAAGTTCATGAAGGAAATTCCAACATTGTATTTCATCAAGATCAAAGTAAACCCTTGGGACAAAAGATTGCACCAAATTGTATGCTAATAAATATTTTGGAGTTTACAGTCCATCCACAAGAGTACCCGACAGGATCAAGTGCATTTGCCCAAGAAAATACCAAGCAACAGTTGGCCCAACATACAGAGGAGAACGTCATCCTTTCAGGGTCTGCTAAATCAGTTACGACTCGATAGAGTTAACAAGAGAAATCAGATGATACAGGCAGCTCAAATCTCAGAGCTTCCTGATGCAAAGGAACAGCCTTTGGTCGAGGTCGAACTGATTGAGATTAGATGGGTCCCCTCTCAGCATCATGAGAAGCCCTCCATATGAAACATATATCTCCCTGAAGCCAAAAAAATCTTTAGCATCAGTCAAAATAATCCAAAAACACCAAGTCATTTGCTAACCAAGTTAATTGAAGATTCCTAAATGCACATTCTTGTGCATCAGCATCCCACGTAGTCAGCAGAAAACCACAAGACTAGACAGCTACACACGAGGTCCCAATGTAGTAGTATATTAAAATATCCACTGCATCAGTAGTTTCAAAAGCTTAGCTCTCGTGTATGAATAGATGGCCCTATAGTTACTGGTTGTTAAATTAACCTGTTAAAGCAGAAAAAGTATTGCCTTCATTTGAAGATTATGAGTAACTTGAGGCGAGGGTGAAATCACTCTCAAGAGCCGAGACACCGGAGAGCGGTCTGTACATGAATAAGTGACATTGGCATGTAGAAGGAAAGCAGAAGTAACAGATAAAGATAAGAAGTACAAATGAAACTGGAGGTTGTCATAAAAAAACATGCTTTCACTTGCTAATTTACTCCCCGAGCTCTAAGCTGGTAAGAAATAGGCTCCAGGTCCTGTTGGAAGCAGATGACACATACATAAAGTAGATAGACATCTTGCTCCTTGAAGACACGACATCGATAAGAAAAACCATAACACTGTATCAATGGAGTTCTTTATAGAGTTAAAAAGAGAAAGCCAACATAAATGTTCCATAGAAGTTCTAAGGTTTAGAAAAAGCAAAGATGAAGCTTCAAAGATTCTTTTATATGAAGCTAAATGTTAGATGTTAACTGTGGCTTACCAAAGATTGCAAGAGAGACGTAACAAGCATGACTCAAAAAATGCAGGTCAAATTAAGTAGAACTTACGCTTTGACTCCTTTTACTGAACTTTTAGAAGCCCTTCCAGGATCATCCTCGGATATCTTGTATAGCTTCCCATGCATAATGTATTCGTACTTGTCAGCAATGGATTTCCTATTACCCTGAGAATGGTTATCACTAGTCAGAGACTCAAAGCTCTTATAAGAGTTGAAATGCCAAAAAAGGTATGAAATCCTAGAAAAAAAGAGAGAATTCTGAGTTCAAAGCATAGCATCCAGCTAAAAATTAGTCCTCCAGGAAAGACCAGAGGTTTAAAAGAGTAAATTGCTGGCTTTCTAGCAAATGACATTTAACTACTGTCAATACTAGATTGGAGAATGCAAAGACACCAAGAGATATATATCTCCATAGTTCAAAATGCTAATCACTGGTTACGGCAAAACCAACTTGATGGGTTCAGAAAAGAGAAAATTTTCCTCTTTGTTATTTAAAACAATTTTGGAGCATTCAGACCTCCAAGCGGATTGCTGATTCTACTCAAAACAGCTCAGGCTTACAATTGAGAGAGCTTAGAGAAAAGATGACAAATGAGATAGACAAGCATCAAGTTATGGAGAGAAAAAGAAGCAACAATCCACTGCCATTAAAATAGGCAAGAGATTGTGAACAAAAGCAGGAGGAAGATCATACCGGGGTATAATATCCTGTGTCCGGTGTTCCATCCGAATTTAACGTAGTAGCTAACGCCATGGTGAACTTTTGTCCTTCTTTTATTGGGTATATTTCAGTATTCACATCTAGATGCATGAACATGTCGAATCTTTCGCTTCGTGCTTCAATCCGAGATACTAAAGAAAGAGAGCAAACTGTGAGTAACAAAATTTCCACGAAATAATGTAGCTGAAGACGGCATGAACCACATAATTTGACTACTTAACTTCACTGGGGCACAACAGACACCATAATCCATGAGTTCACAAACAACAAATTAAACGATTCATTTGCACATCAAAAGATAATTCTTATCTTAGGGCACCTCACAGAATGAGAATCCAAGCTGCAACAAGGATATCCGCCCAATTTCACCATTGCCTATGTAAGGGAAGGAGTCAAATTCCTCTTCCATTCACTGGTCCCTAATTCCGATACACTTCCATTGTTTTACCAAATTGTTAAATTAATACTCAAGCTATTTCAAACAACTAGTAACTTCTTCCGCAGCAACAAATAAATTCAATAAGCGCATGTCACGTGCCATATAGCTCATTCTCCGGCTTATCACAACCCCAATCAAATCTTTAAAAGCAGCAACGAGCTCAACTTAAGTTAGCCCAGCATACAACAATCGGCACCCAAGAAGTAAAACCTTGACATCATTCCCCCAAGTTTGGAGTGACAAGAGGACATTGCAAAAAGCTCTTTTGGTGATCTCTCCCCATCACATCCTTCCTAATTTTTATCCCTACTGGTATCACATTTCACATAACAAGAGCAAGATTTAACACGACGACCGCCAACAAGGACCTGGGGCAACGAAAACCCAAGATTAAGGAGTCTCAATAGGTGCAAAATTCATGCCACAGTTAGCTCAATAACTGGGAAACAGCAAGAAACCAGGAGCCCGATTTCACAAAAAGGAAAAGAAAAGTTCCACACACCGAATCTCTCAACAAGCACATACTCAAACGATACAAACAACCAATACAAGGGCTCTCTTGTTTGCTAAACCCCATTAACAGGCTCAACAGTAGATTGGCGTCTGCTTGAGAGATGAACAGATATCAGGAAAAAGAACAGTTATTTTGACGAACCCAAAACGAGAAAACTAGCGGAGAAGAAGCAAACGCGCAATCGAGAAGGCATGGGCATACCTTTGTCGAACTTCTTGCCGTCGGGGTCGAGCCTCTCGACCTTGAAGACGTCCTCGAGAATTATCATCTTTCACCTACCAAGAACTCGAATTGAGGTCATTGCCATCATAAGATTCACACGCGAAAGAACCAGAGAGAGAGAGAGAGAGAGAGCCATACCAGAGCAGACACACGAAGACGTCGCGTCCTGTGCGAAGGAAAGTGATGCAGAGGGGCCGGCAACTGGAGGAGACGAGGGCTTACTTTGCCTTTTGTTATAATCAATAATTGTGTAGGTTGGTTTTTTTTTTTGTCTTTTTTCTTTTTGCTATAATATAATTAATGTCATATTCTTATGGTCATTTTTCTTAAAACATAGACTATAACATATTTTCTCTTGGGGATTATAAGTTTTCTTAATATTAAAATAATATTCCATGCTTGATTTTTGCGAAGCTTGATTATAGTTGGTTTTTCACTTTCCAGCCTATCTAAATTATGTTCATGGTAATCAACCTGTGCGCTTGTAAGGTGAAAAAAAAATTTGATTTCTAGGTTTTGACATAAACCTAATTGATTACATACAATTAGGTAAATCAATTATTGAAACTGCACTCAAAGGTGGGGCATTTTCCATTTGGAACTTTTGTACAAAAAACAATGGTATCTCCAATTGTAGCCTCACGAGACATTTTTGATCTGCACTGAAGGATGACCCGTCTCCCGGACTAGGTTCTATTAACTTTCTCGATCAACTTTCTAAATGGAGGTTGGGAAGCGATCCATCCGGACTCTTTTTCTATTTTTCTTGCAAGAAAAAACTTAGTTCAATTTAGATTGAATTCGTCACTCTTGGAAAAGGAGGAGAAAGGATGTCGGGTACGAGATTAATGGAGTCTATGTGGTGAGCATTGAAAAAAATAATCAATAGAAGGTTTATTGCGATTGCTTCTTCAGCTGAGTTGAAAAAGGTCCGACTATTTTCACTATGGCGCCTCTAGACTATTTCTAGGTTTTCCTTCTGTTAAAAAATAATATTTTTCTTAATTAGTTAAACACGAGAAAGATCATTATCAACAGAGTTACTTCCATGCCATCATAAATTTAAGAGGTAATAGCATACGGTAATCAAAATAATATGTTAGAGGAAGCTTTTACTATTTGATTTTTTTTTTAATTTGTTAAGATTAAAATCGAGGACCATAATCTTTTCTTTTAAAAGATCGAGACGCCGAGTTATCTGAGTTAACATAATTTACTTGTTTTAGTTTAAACTAAGGTACATGCTCAATTGAATTGTTGAAGACAACAATATAAAAGCATGACAATATAATTCATTGGTCTTTTTTGCATGTTTTTGTAACATCAAATAATATACTACGAACAATACTTTGTAATTTTAGGGACCGCAAATCTTTTTTCTTTCTTTTGTTCCTCAAATATCTTCGAGGGTTTTATTTTATAAATGTTGTACCCATGGGCAACTGTGTCAGTTCATAACTTTAATTTGCCTCTTACATATTGCAATTAAAATTTTCAGTCTTTGCATCTTCAAAGACAATCTTATTGGAAACAGAACCTGAAGTTCACTTGCCTTCTGTATTTGCAGAAGTTCCATAAGAAAGTGCCTTGATATGTCCCTGGGATTTACTCTGAAAGAAGTACCGGATCCCAATTGCAAGGTTTTGACTGGGGTGTTCACAAGTCAGTAAGCAGGCTTTGCTTTCTTCTGATGCAAGTGCATCTTAATAGCCCACTTTTTCGCCCGCCACAAGTTGCACGACACGGGATGTCGGGCCGCATCGATTCAAGAACTTGGTCCAATCGACAATACTGATTACGCTGCGAGTTGTGGGAAGCATTCATATTCCAGTAGGGAAAGCAATCTACTACTTACAAAGATGTTCAAAGATGTCAACTGTCAATTTGGAGGTCTAGTTCAACTGCAGTTTTACAATTGTGAGAAGTTGTAACAAATGATCTATCAGTATGCCGCCTATTCTAAACTTCGCAAACAAAATTTCGATCTGCTTTTCACATTCCCACCAGTGCCTACGCATGCCGCCGATCCAAGCAAACATGAATTATCTCTTCGTTTTCTTTTACCCGTTTATATGATTATGTGTGAAAAGCCTCGATCTAGCTTTGTGGATCGCTCTAGAAACAACTGCTCCGTGCCTTGACAGAAAAGATCATTGCTCACGAGTAGGCTTTGCTTTCCTCTGGGCAAGATGCATGTGAACTAAGAAGCTCTTGCCTCGTGCCTTGACAAAGGAAGGTCGAAATAAACTTTGTGCTGCCCGCCTTCAGGGAATACGCGACTAGTGGGATGTTGTTTTCAATATGTCATACTGCATGTATGTACTGAGCAACTTCAACTAATGAAAACAAAGTATCATAACTTAGTCACAATAATAAGCATTCACACAGGGAAAACAATCTGCTATTTTCAAAGATGTTCATAGAGAATAGTAGATTCAAATGCCGACAAGCATTCCAGTATCAATCACGCTTTTGGATTTCCCCTTGTATGACTGCAAACACCAACCAATAGGTCATAGGACTTAAAAAATGCAGCTTCCTTCAGTCTCGAATAGATTGCCATCACTTTTCTTCTTAAGCTTGTGGATTCTGTGTCTCGGCGGTCTAAGACTTCTCAAAATGAACTCTGGAAACCTGTCCAATGACGTCTAAGGCTCAGGAATTTGTTTCTCAAACATACAAGATCTTAACTTGCAAAAATAAAAACGACCAGTTGCTTACTTGAAATGCAACTTTCCTCTTTTAACTGAAGATTTATCAGAACTTTGAACAAAACTCGAACTAGGGTCCTTGGGACGTTATGGTCGTACGGCTCCCCACAATCGAAAACATGTATTAGGCGCCCATCAAATTACATCCCGTCCAAAAATTCTAACTGATCAAGGCCCTCAACAAACCGTAGTCCATAGCACTGGTTGATTTTGATATGCCTCAGGCTCCTCAATTTTGACAAATCAACTAATTGTTCCACAAAGTGGCACCTATAAAGAGAGAACTCTTCCAATGATTCCAGCTTGCCGACGACTTGGATGCCGGGTAGCTTTGGGCACTCGTCTTCTAGATTCTTTAAGGGGTTCAATAGAAGGATTACTATTCGTCCCACGAGCAGTCAACACTCAACAACTCTAGTTATAAGAGAGATTCAAAAGGCCGCGGTAGATAGCTAATCTCTTCGGTGGTTGCAGCACACTGCCAGTAAATTGAACCTCAACCAGCTTCGAGCATCAGCTCCCCACTAGTACTTTCCAGTTTCTTGAAGCTCAATCTCTCCGGTTCACAGCATCATGACCTTCTACTCTAATTGTGAAAGTCCCTCAAGTTGTATCATTCAAGAAGGAGAGAGCTCTAAAGCCGACCAATTTTCCAAAATTTTCAAGCTGGACAAGAGTGATCTTGGTGGGTTGACTTTATCAAGGTTTAACTGCACCAGAGAAGATGGAAGATGTGCGCAGGATAGCAGGGTTAGTACAGACAAAGTGAGTACGTTTAGAAGAGAAAGCGAGCCTCACTCCACTGGGGGCACAGTGATATGCCAAAGGCACAAGTCAATTTCTTTCGGTTTGGACAACCTCCCAATCCACCATTGGTCACGAGTCTGCACTACCTTCTGTCCTGTATAACCAGTGCCATCATGTAGATTCAATTCAACCAAATATCACAGATCGGTGAGATTAGGTACCGACCGCAACGAAATAGACTAGAATCGTAAACACATGAAGCTTGCGAGTAGCTCTGGAAAACTCTTGAATCTCACAATTCTAAGCCCAGTTTTTCCAAGGAGGGGAAGCAGAGTTCAGAAGAAAGATGAGTAATCCAGCTTCCCTAGCCCTCCAGTAGAATTCAGAAGTTCGATGATTGCTGTGTGTGATATCCTGAGAGTTGACAAAACAGTTTAGTCCACTAATAGAATCCGGTAAGCAACGGATCGCCATATTCCATACAAAAACCTTTGTTCAATGACGCTAGTTTACCAAATAAGTCGAGGAGTTTCTTCTCCACAAAACATTCCTGTAAAGAGAAGTGCTTAAGAATCACCAGCCTTCGAATTTCTTCAGGCAACTCTTTAAGACGCCTGCAACTTTCAATACTCAAGTCAGTCAAGCACTTCAGTTTTCCAGTGGAGCAGTCATTTTCCATCAAACTTGAGAGCAACTAGAAAAGTCTGGAGTTTTAGTTATGGTAGAACAGTTTTTCAGCGTCAGAACTTGCCATCTGCAAATAGAGAACAACGTATTGCAGAAGTGAAATATATTAGAGGATCATATAACTAAAGGAAAAAAAAAACGTATTAGAAGATGAGACATAACTAAAAAAAAAGTATTGCAAGATGAGACAATTAGGCTACAAGTAAGCACATAACATACCTTTAGTATGCTCCATACTTCCTCTGTGAAGTCATTATAACAAAATTTGAAAACGACTATATTCTTTACTGCATACTGGCCACCCTAAAATCTGGTTAAGGAAAAGCCCAAGAAATCCATCAAGTTGGAAAGACATTTGGTGAAGTCCCCAGCAAAAGTTCCTCCGTCCAATTTGAGGAACCTTATAGGTCCAAACCTTTCCATCTCTTCAATAGTAATATGGAATCTTGGAAAACTATGCCAGGCTAGATGGAGTGCTTGAATATTTCGTTTCCTCTGTGACAGTAAAAACTAGTCAGTGAGTTAGAGTTCCTCTTCTCTGTTCAACAATCACATTTCACAGAAGAGAAGAAACGCCTTAAGAGAAAGGTACTTGGTAAAAAAGAGAATAAATTATTTATTGATAGTTGAAGATTTGCTTTATTTCCAGGATCTATTAGAGCTTTTTGATGGACGATTTCCCTTCCAAGTTCTATTAGTTGATCCTGCAACCTTTATCAAGGACGTCGATAACCCATTCATGGCAAAAATGCACAATCCTTCCACATGTGAATTGCCATATTGTGGTTCTCATCAATGAAAAAGCAAGCAATATCTAGAAAAATTTGTCATCAGTCAGTACTCAAGGCATCATAACTGATCTTCAACTTTCCTACGACATCCTCGTGAGGAAATCTACTTAATTTGTTTCGTCTCTTTTCAAATTTTCCTTCCTTTTCAGATAAAGGAACACACCTAACACTTCAAGAGCCAAAGGAAGTCTTCCAGTCATGGAGACGTCTCTTTGTGGTTGTCATCTAAAGGAATGTCTCTCTCGAAGGCATGCCTGCTGAAAAGCCGCAGTCCCTGATCAGAACTCATTTCCTCCATTTCATAATCTAGAACGTCATACATTAATTCTTTATTATGCAAAACATTTTTATTCCTAGTTGTAATACTAACTCTAGAACCTGAACCACAAGGTAAACTTGGTGAACTTGTGGACTCGTTCACTCATGTCTAGATCATCGGGAACAATGAGGACCTTCTATTTGTGGAGTGTTTCTTCAATCCTCTGCTCTCCATAATCAACGTCATTAATGTTGTTCGACGTGGAAGAATTGACCATATCCGATGATAACTGTTTTGCAACTTGACTATTCCTTCACCTCTTGATGACTTTTTCTTGGATATCTTCAAAGAAACTGCTGCACATTTCAAAGTGAGGCGACAGTTGATTGAAGACGACCTTGGCTAGAGTTGTTTTTTCTATGCCTCCCATTCCATGAGCTACAGCCAGCCAAAAACCACTTGCTTCGATAGCTAATAACTGTCTCAGGTCTGCCACTCCGTTGTTCATTCCAACTAAATGTTCAGTCACAGACTTATGTATTGTCTTCAGCTTATGCAAAACCACCCCAACCACCAGTTTGATTAGTCCCTGTCACAATTAATTGCAAACCAGTTTTAGTGGGAAAAGATCATAATATATCCGTTCATGTTTGTACTTACTTTATTTACTATTCCTTTTCCAAGTAAAAGAACAGGGAGAAAAATGGTAAAACAGCAGAAACTATGCAAAACACGAAAACTTCACTGATACTAAACAATAGAAATCTTGATTACTACAAATTTTTTCCGACAGTTAGGTAGAGCTTATCAAGAATATGTTCTGTGAAAAAGAAAAAAGAGAGGAGCTTAACCGTCATCCTTTTTCAGGTTCCATCCCTTCATTTCATCGACTTCTTCAAGAGCCTTTCTACAAGCCAACCTCAACAATACTCAACTTCTGCTCTTGCTCCAACTTCAATATGGCATCACGGTAGAATGGAGTTTTAAGCTTGACATCCTCAGGTTCCACATCGCAGAAAATGGGAAAAATCTCTTTCTTCCACATGTAGATGATGGAGTTCTTTATCGTACACGGAAGCTTTTCTTTCATTTTTTTGCCAACTTGGAGTCCATTGCCGTCTCTAAAAAATGGAACCCGACATCCACCACTCCACGGTAGAGGCAGTCGGTGAATGCATGGTGAGAGTCCGGTGCTCTAATGCTCAAAAACACCCGGTACTTGCCGCCAAACACATCGTTGCTACTCATTGCGGCCTCTAAGTTTGCAGAGATCAGCCTCCAAGTGCGTCCTAAGTCATCACTGCTTATTGATTGTTTGGCAGCTTATGTTATATACTGTCATACGAATATCCGCCATGTCAGGAACTGGTGAAGTTATGACCTTAACTATATGTAAAAAATATAGTTTGGCTGCTTATGTCATAAAGTAGATTTACTTTAGATAAAGCAACTTTAGAAAAGTAAAGCATAAGAGAGTAGGACAGACAGGAAAGCAAAGATATGGCAGGACAACTTGATCTCATCCACTCATCCAGTGTATCACAGTGCAGATACTGCACACTAAGGTGGAAGATAACAGCAGAACATGATTCTGTCAAGATGAACCCTAAAGACAGCAAGGTACATAAGGCACTTCATTATTCACAATACACTGAAAGGAAAAGGGTCACAAAAGCAGAACACTTAGTCTTGCATTTTGTACTAAAAGAAAGTGGCTTATAATAAAGATGACTTTAGATAAAACGACTTTTGAAGCGGTAAGCTTAAGAGAGAGAATTCTCTTTCAAATGGTGAAGTTGCTTGGACCACATGACCCAACTTTGATGTAAATGTGGGCCTCACATGAATAAAAAAAAAAGTTAAGGAATGAGAATTCCGATGGCCAGTCTTAAAATAAGTAGGAATTTAGGAAGAGTCCCACATCGACCATGGACACACATGAGCCTCAGTTTATATTGTCCAAGTGAGATAGAGGAGCTTGTCTCTTCGGAGACATCCGATAAAATTGGAACGATACAGAGAAGATTAGCATGGCCCCTGCGCAAGGATGACACGCACAAATCGAGAAATGGTCCAAATTTTTTTCTACTTTTTCGGTATGTATTTTTTTTTTTCCGTATGCTTGGAGTAATCCCAACTTTTATTACATTCACCTTTTCTTGATCAATCCTAAATTCCTAGCATACTTTCTCTCATTATTATTGTGGAAATCTCAGAATTCATACTATTCGTAATAATACAAATCTTCGTAGTGTTGTATATCATGGATTGATCTCGTGTTTATTGCGTTGAGATGACTTCAATTTTATTTTTTATTTTTTACTTATTTTCGTATTTTGCAATACTTATGTCTTGACTTCAAATTAAGCAATACTCACAAAACCTTTCAAGATATACAAATACTGACAAAATGAGATTGCTTTTGCTTTTTATTAAGAAAAACAAAAGCCACTAAACTTCTCAAACTATTTTTTGCATTTAATTCTAGAATTAATTTAAATTTTTTCAGCCTGGTTCGCCACTCAGGACAGACACAGCCCAAAACCCAGAAGTGGATGAGGCATGGAGGCTTCTCTGTCTCTCCCGTTTCGCTCTGTCCGACCGCGTCTCCACCAAGCTCCGGCCACCAGCCTCGTCACCTGCGGGCTTCGCAACAGTACGAGGAGGCCACTGTGGAGGTCGGTTGTGCTGTCCACGGAGGCCATACAAGCCGTCCAGTCCCTCAAGCTGGCCATACAAGCCCCGGTTGAACCACGTCCTCAGCACGACCCTCGCTCGGCTCTTGAAATCCGATCTGTTGAACACCTTCGCCGAGCTCAAGAGACAGAACGAGGTCGATTTGGCCCTCAAGGTATCGCCTTTTTCGAGCCCCTGGTTCTGGGTCTCTGTCTTTCTTTGCTTTTCTTGGTGGTTTTCGAGTTCTCTCTTTGTAACTTTGGCGTATGATGTGAAAAATCTCTGCCCTTCTAAATAGGAATTGGAAGTTTAGAAGGCCATTTTCGGTGTCTGTGTAAGTTACATTCTTTGATTGTAGCGGATGCTCTAACTGGTATGAGCAGAGCAAGTGATCTGGCAATTGAGTGCTGCTCTGAAGTTTGGTGAATTCGTTTTTCGTATTGGTCATCGGTGATTCAGCCGGTGCATCGAGCTAGCGAGTGGCATGGGTGATTTTTAGAAAACGGGTTGAGTGTTGACTGATGAGATTGGCTTACCTTGCAACAATGACTCTTGTAGGCTTGTTCGGCCTTATGGATTTTATCCACGTTTAGGATTTCCGAGTTCGGGTTTGGGTACTCTTTTTTAATCTTCTACATTAGGCATTCACAAAGAAAGGAGAATAACTCTGCAGATTAATTTTAAATTAGAAGATAATAATAATAACATTGGGCAGAAATGCAGGTTCTGCATGCTTCGAGCATCAGCTCACCTCTAATACTTTCCAATTTCTTGAAGCTCGATGAAATGGATAATCTCTCCGGTTCACACCACATGGCCTTCAACTTTTCTAATTGTGAAAGTCCCTCGAGTTGTATCATTCAAGAAGGAGAGAGCTCTAAAGCCGACAAATTTTCCAAATTTTTCAAGCTGGACAAGAGTGATCTTGGCGGGTTGACTTTATCAAGGTTTAACTGCACCAGAGAAGATGGAAGATGTGCGCAGGATAGCAGGGCCAGTACAGACAAAGTAAGTATGTTTAGAAGAGAAAGCGAGCCTCACATTTTTGGGGGCACAGTGGTATGCCAAAGGCACAAGTCAATTTCTTTCAGTTTAAACAACCTCCCAATCCACCATTGGTCTCAAGTGTGCAGTACCTTTGGTCCTTCTGTATAACCAGTGCCATCATGTAGAATCAATTCGACCAAATTTCTCAGATCGGAGAGATTAGGAACCGACCGCAACGAAGTAGACTAGACTCGTAAACACATCAAGCTCGTGAGAAGCTCCGGCAAACTCTTGGATCTCACAATATTCTAAGCCTAGTTTTTCCAAGGCGGGGAAGCAGATTCATATTACTTGGCAAATTGAAAGTTTGTGTACGCAATAAATTTAAGATTCTCAACGACGACAATGTTCCGATTTGCACAGGGACTTCAACCGCCAACTCTGGACAACTATAGAGAGACATGTAGCTTTTCCAAATTCTCCAACATTCTAATAACACTAGGTAACTCCCATTGGTTTCCAGGTACTAATCGATTAAGATGCGACAGTTTCAACATGTGCAATGATTTTAGAGCCGAAGAGGAGAAAGGTTGAAGATGAGGTTCTTAACTTCTCTTCTTGTTCTTTTACAGCCGAAGAGGAGATCGGTTGATCTTGTTTGAGGGTAGATATATCAAAATAGATCATAAACCCATTTCTTAATCCATATATCAGTAAATGGATCATAAATGTTATTATATTCACTAAATTGATCATAAATTGGTAAACATAATATGAGTGTTAAATCGATCGTAAATGGGTTCACAACTTATTTAAAATCAATTTATCTCTCGCCTTCACTCTGCACTCTCATATCAGTTTGGGTTCGAGTTTTTCTAAATTGAGTTAAATATGGAAGTGCTTTAGTAATATAGGTCGAGTCGGGTATGGGTTATTAGATTTGCATTACATTGAAATAGGTCAAAACGGGTTAAATGGGTCTATTTAGATCAGACCAATTTCGACCCGACCCAACCAACCCGTTCGACAGATCTTTTTGAGGACTTAGAGCTATGCAAGCATGGGTAGCTAGAAGTCCTGCTCCAGCAATGAAAACACGCGCCACTTTTGCCGACTTCCGTTGCACATGGTTTTACAGTAGGATCTTGAATTTTTCTTTTATTGTGATATAGATACGTATTCAAATTATTTAAATAGTGAAAGTATAACCATTACTAGATATAATTCCGTCCTATCTTAACCTAACGTGTAACTATTCAACCAATTGGTTGGGTGCCATGTGATTTTGTTAATTCTTGATTTGAATGTATATCTAGTATTTTGCAGATTTATTGAGTTTTTCGACTAGGTTGATTTTTCTTAGATTGACGTATAATCACTAGATATGTTGAAGAGAGCAACCTATATGATATTATAAATTTGAACCATCTTATTCGTTAAGCTTTTAATACGCGAAAGGGTGAGGAGAGATAACTAGCGCGATTACCTCCTTTGCACTAACCCATGCATGAATGTAAATATGACCGGTCATGTTCTTAATTTTAAAGTGGTTTAAAAGGATCTTAATTTCCTAACATGGAGGATAACCTACTCATCCTATACAAGCACACTCATATGACGTTATTTTTTTTTTGGTCGGAAACACTCATATGACTTGTTAGATGGTATCTTATTGATCAATAATATCTAGTGTCTTGTTAGATGTGGTATTGCTAAACACTTCAATAAACTAATCATGCATACTGCAGTTTCATAGTTCGAAACTCAAGTTGCTACAGGTGAATGTGCAAGTCGAATTTAGTTATGATCGATTTGACAATAAAACATCAACCCAACACAAAGCAAGAAGTATCATCCATGCATGAGATACTTTTCTTCTGCTATTTAATGCATGAGATACCTTGTTTATGTTCATTCACCGAATAGTTGGTTCCCAATTCTTTTTCCCAGTTGGGGTTTGGAATAGATACTATTTTCTAAAAATCAAGCAAGAAACAATCTCAACACACGCACACACATATATAATAGTTGGTTCACGATTCATTTTCCCATTTGGGGTTTGGAATAGATACTTTTTTCTAAAAATCAAGCAAGAAACAATCTTAACAAGACACAATATAATAGTTGGTTCACGATTCATTTCCCATTTGGGTTTGAATAGATACTTTTTTAAAATCAAACAAGGCAATCTCAACACATGCCCACATATATAATAGTTGGTTCACGATTCATTTTCCCATTTGGGGTTTGGAATAGATACTTTTTTTCTAAAAATCAAACAAGGAACAATCTCAACACATGCGCACACATATATAATAGTTGGTTCACAATTCTTTTTCCCAGTTGGGGTTTGGAATAGATACTATTTTCTAAAAATCAAACAAGGAACAATCTCAACACATGCGCACACATATATAATAGTTGGTTCACGATTCTTTTTCCTAGTTGGGTTTTGGAATAGATACTATTTTCTAAAAATCAAGCAATGAACAATCTCAACACACACACATATAATAGTTGGTTCACGATTCTTTTTCCCAGTTGGGTTTTGGAATAGATACTAGTTTCCAAAAATCAAGCAAAGAACAATCTCAACACGTACACACATATAATAGTTGGTTCATGATTCTTTTTCCCAATTGGGTTTTGGAATAGATACTGGTTTCAAACAATCAAGCAAGGAACAATCTCAACACATATATAATAGTTGGTTCCCGGTTCTTTTTCCCAGTTGGTTTTTGGAATAGATATGTTTTTCTAAAAATCAAGCAAGGAACAATCTCAATATATGTGTGTGTGTCCCATTATTCGTCCTATACATTCTATTGTACCAGAAATTACATTAGAGAGGATCGATAAAATTTAAACTAAGCAAAAACATGGCATTTAGCTCTATTTTGGATCTGGGGAACAAATGGAACATCCATGACTTCGTCATACCGAGTCTCACACTTTAGGTCTTTCTTGTTCTGTTTGCACCCCTTAAAATGAAAACGGCGAACGTTGCATCGTTAACAATAGAATAATTAATCGTACAATATGCTATTTTAATCTGTAATTTATGCTTTCGTGTAATTCTTGTGCTAATAGTATAATGGATGGCTGTGAGAATACGGTGCTGAATTACACGAGGGAAGAAGATTGTGTTAAGATATCCAACCGAAGCAAAACAAGATAGAAAAAATGATCGCGACTCTTAAAATTGATTACAACTGAATCAATTTCAATCATTACAGATTTCTTTCAGTTTTGCCAAAAAGGCTAGCTTCCCTCTCCTTTCCAAGTATCTTGGTTTCATCAGCTACCAGATTCATTGATTTCTATTGGACAGCCAGTTAATTAATTATTCTTAAGGGTGCGATGTTAAAGCTTCTTCTATTTAGGAGTCACATGATTTATGACCCTCAAGAAAGTTGCTCAGTTGACCATGGTGATCAAGCCAAAACAACCAAAATCGATCAATTTACCACAAAGTTATGTAGTTAAAGACGAAATCTAAAGTCGAAATTTAGAGAATATTTTTGTTTGTCCTTGCCACGTCCCAATTGACCTCACACATGTCATCATGTGTACAGATTCAACAATAAGCTTTAGCTTATTTATTCATCCACAAACTATTATCTCTTATGGAGTTTAATGGGTACACAAGAAAATATTTTTAAAAGTATTCCTAAATTATATAACTTCTTTTCCAAACACTTATGTAACTTATATTGAAAACAAATTATGTTAATAAACACAAGGACATCTATTTGATTTACAATTAAAATAAGATGGAAAATAAAAACAATAATATGACATCCAATTTATAAGCAGATCATTTATAATTTGTAATAGAGCTTACTTGATTGAATGAACAATTTTCACTTAACACAAAGAAGTTTCACTTAAGTTTAAACATTACTCATTCTTGTGTCATTTTCTCTTATACCTATCTTTATGCATGGCCCTCTCTCTGATCCTTCCTGTCTTTGGCAGCTTTATGATCAGATATGAATTGCTCATGTCTCTTGGATGTTATCTGGAAATGAATTTTCCTTTAAAACCAGTCGTCATTGCTCAAAAATGAATGTTCGACGCGACGTGAACTAGAGCTTTATACTCTTGGATTGTTCTAAGTCAGGACATTCTCTAACCGCAGCACGTTCTGTCATTGGTCCAGTTTGTTCTTCGCTTTCTTTTGAGAGTTGTCTTGCTTCCATGCGTGTTCTGCGTTTATCCTAAGAATGTATTCCTTCTTTTCATTACAAGTTGCTTATCATGAAAGCTTACGGGGGCTGAGAGAAGTATTGTTGTAACAGCTGTGGCTTTCAATGTCCTTTCCTTTGTTGATTCTTGAACTTTACTTTTTTTTTTTGCCAGAATTCTTGAACTTTACTTTTGATAGATCTTCACGTGAAGCTTGGCATCTTGAAGATGAAGTTCTTAACTTCTGAACTTATTCTTTTCCAGCCTAAGAGGTGAACGGTTGATCTTGTTTGAGGACTTTCGGCTATGCAAGCATGGGCAGCTAGAAGTTCTGATCCAGCCATGAAACGAGGCACCACTTTTGCCTACTTCTGTCAAAATCATTGGACATGGTTTGCAGCAGGATCTTAAATTTTTTTTTATTGAAATATAGACAGTGAAAGTGATTAGTTTTATCTTTGAGAGACTAGGAAAACGGAGGGGAAAAAAGGTGAAACTTTTAAAACTTTAAAATTTAAATTAGTGGATATTTCCTTTGTATTTTCCTCCCCCTTCATGCTTCCAAATATTGGGAAAATATCATGTACACGTATTCAAATTTTTTAAATTGTGAAATTACATACGACTCTATCGTATCTTAATTAAATGTATAACTATTCAGCCAATTTGTTGGGTGCGATATGATTTTGTTAGTTCTTGATTACTGGACATGTGGCAGAGAGTAACATGTATGATACTATAAATTTGAACCATCCCATTCGTTAAGCTTTTGAGACTCGAAAGGGTGAGGAGGTACAACTAGCGTGGTTACCTCCATTGAAGGTAACCCACACAAAATTATAAATTCGGCCGGATAGGTTCTCAATTTTACGTTGGTTTAAGAGGATTTTATTTTCCTAATATGGAGGATATCCTGCTCATCTTATACAAGCATATTCATATGACTTGTTAGATAGTATCTTATTGATCAATAATATCAATTGTCTTGTTAAAAGTAGTATCACTAAAGAATCCAATAAATTAGGATACCGAAGTTGGGAAAATTACCCAAAAGGTCCTCAATCTATTGCAATTGTGTCAATTAAGTCATAAACTCTTCTTCTTCTTTTTTTGCCAAATGAGTCATAATCCTTTTGTATTTGTGCCAATTAAGTCCATCTGGCCAATTTTAGTCGGCCCGCGCTAAAGTGGATAATTTTTAATAATATTCTAATATTTTTTTCTATTTTATTTATTTATTCTTTCTTTTTTTTCCTTTTTTTTCTTTTCTTTCTTTCTTTTTTGTTTCTTCCCTTCTTCCTCTTGCCAGTCATTGGTTCCCAGACCGACCAA